AACGGTAAGCTCCAGTGGCCGAGAGAGAGAGAGAGAGAGAGAGAGAGAGAGAGAGAGAGAGAGAGAGACGCCTGATGGGACAGGGGGTTTTAAAGGGGGGTGGAGTGAGGGCAGGAGAGGGGACTGTGGGCCCCGCTGATTGGCCAGGCGCAAGTCGGTCATAGTGATGGCATGCACTTCCCTTGATTATTATTGGTTAGTCCAGAGAAATCCTGGGTGCGGCTAGTAGCGGCTTCTTCCCGTGAGGAAGCACATGGTACCGTCCCAAAATGGAGGACCCAAGGCAAGATGGAGGGCGCAGTCCTTGCCCAGCTCCTGCTGCTGCCGCTCGAACTCGCCACAAGGCAGGACGGCCCTCCCGCACAGCCCCCGCAGCTGGCCTGCGGGCAGACTGGGACTCCAGCGCGTCTGGGCGGCATAGGCCCAGCAAACGGGGTGCGGCCGGTGGAGTGGCCCAGCTCTGGAGAAGCGGCATCCGCTCGGAGCAGGCCCGGCCATGGGGCCGGTGCACTGCAGCATGGCAGCCTCCCCGAGCTAGGGCACGCGCCCCACTCCGCTGCCGCCGCTGCACTGGGCCCGGTCCGGGGGGCAGCGGGCGGGTGGCAGCCCACGCCGGGCTCCCGCTGTGGGCTGGGGAGCCAATGCCCCCCCCCCCATGGGGCCCAGCGGCTGGCCCACGCAGGCCCCGGGCCCCCCCCCCCCCCCCGACCGGGCCCCAAGGGCCGCATGGACCCCCGGCCCCAGCACGGGCAAGCGGGGAGCCGACCACGGGGGAAGGGAGGGAAGAGCCAGGCGGTGAGGCCTTCCGCTCCCATGACCTCCCCCGCGGTCGGTTGCCGCCCGGCCCCACCCCTCGGCCCACCGCCGGCCACCACGCAGCCGGCCCGGACACTCGGACCCGCTCCGGGGAGGCCGGCGGCCGCGGAGGGATCCCAGAGCCCAGCGGCCAGACTCCTCCTCCCGCACCGCCCGGAGAGGCGGGCGGCGCGCCTTTCAATAGTAAGCACAAAAAGTTTTATTTTGTTAATACTGCACACAATTCATGCCACACACTTTTTTTTATTCTGTTAGTCAAGGATCTTTTGGTTGAAAGTGATAGAGAGTCCAGTCAAAGTAAAATAAGGAGGAAGGCAAATAATTTGCTCACTTAAAGTGGAAGTTGAGAAGCTAGGCTAGTTTTCAGCACAGCTGGATTTACCAGAAAACATCTGTCTTTTTCCATCTCTGCTCTCCTTTCCTTTGTGTTCCTCCTCTAATGGGTTTTCTCTAGCTGGTGGGAATATTGGCTGGGTTAGCGCCAAGCTTAGTTGGTCCTTATAACGCATAATCCCAGAAAGAGCAGAGAGAGCAGAGAGAACAGACTTCTTTCTTCTACTCTCAGTATCAATATTTGAAAAGAACTCTGACTGACCTAGCTGAGTCAAATCTCATCAGGTAATTGTGCTGTGCATGTGTGTTGGGGAGGTGGGGATCCCTTCGATAAAGTGACAAAAGGGAAAAAGAAGGGAGACAGTGAGCAGAGCTCTGGGGGGCTGTCATATGGGAATCCCGGGCTTGGTGAGTGAAATGAGGGGTTAGTGTGAGGAAAGAATAAATGGTGCAGAGGCCACATTAGCTGCCATTACTGCCTCTTCTCCTGCCTTCCTAGACTCCCTAGATGAAACACACACATCTCCCAGATCATTGGCCTTGGACACAGTATGATTTGGGGGGCAGGGTAAAAGGCCTTTCTGTTTAAAACATATATTTCCAGTTGCACAGTGTGTGTGGAGTGAGTTTCACTCATGGCAAAGCAATTCAGTCTAGGTTAATCTGTTACAAGTTTTTTTAAAAAAAGCCCCAAATGCAAATCGTCTAATTCGTGGGAATATCAGTCAAGCATAACTGACTGCTTTCTGTAACCTTCTGGAGGTCAGAAAGGAGGAAGGCCCAGGGCTCCCGAGAGGGGAAGGAATACCCAGTGGACTAGCCCCTGCCCACATGGGGCCGAGGAGCTATGGGTAAAGAGAGACTAGCTATTGTTGAAGAAATGCTGAAAGGAATTGAGTTCTTAGCTTAAAAGAAAAAAGTCCACTTAAGGGCACTGGGGTCAAGGTCCTTCCTTGTCATTGGACTTCCCCTATTCCGTAGAGATCAATTTCAGTGGATCGGTCTGGGCAACATCGAGCACTTGGCTGTGTAGTGAGTTTTTTCATTATTTAGACTCAAAGGCCTACTTTCCTTTCCAGGGAACATGGTCTCAATTTGCAGGATAAAATAAACAAAAGAAAATTCATTGTTCTAGTCTCCAAGTTCACTTATGTCTCCGGGTAATTGGCACAGAAGTAAAGGGAACCCTATAGTGTGATGGAAGAATTTAAAAATGCTTATAATTTTAAAAAGGTTGTCTAGAGCTCATCCTAAATCAGATATCAACTTATCAGGTTTTTTGTTTTGTTTTGTTTTGTTTTTGCTGATGCTGTGTTGTTGTTGTTGTTCACCTTGAAAACATTGGGGGTTCAGTTACAAAATACATTTCTGAATTTTTGCTTGAAAATTACGATACCATAGAAATGATTGACACTAGCTTTCAGAGCAACTTGGAGGTAGAACTTATCAGTTAATGAATGTTTGCCAATAAATGCATGGAGTTAAGGGATCTTTCAGTGACTAGGGACCTCCCAACCATGCAGGACAAATACATATTGTTGGACACTGCTCCTATTTGTCCCTGAAAGCAGTAGCCACCTGCTATCTGCCTAGCTGTCCTGTCAGATTTGCCTGCCCTTATGCTGTCTTGTTTCAAAGGTCAACACTTGCCTTTCAATATCTTGAGTGACATTAAAGAGAAAAAGAAGTCCCGAAACTCAGCATGGCAAATCTAATATTTATGAAAGGAATTTTACTAAGGGACTGAAGGGACAGCCATATGTACAAAAATCCAGAGGAATTTCTGGAGGGTCTGATAATGTGTTTAAGCTACAACATTAGACTGATGTGGTTTCTGACATTGACAAGTCACAACCTCTCTGAGGCTAATCTAATAGAATAGGTGACTACCGTTCATGATAATCATAACTACTTTGTGGGCAAGTCTGAGGGTTAAAGAAATAATGTCTGTGCAAGTGTAGACCTCAGACAGGCTGAAGCCCGGACCTGCTGAGGGATGTGCCTGAGGAAATAACCATCTCTTCGCCCAATCTCACGGCCAGTTCTCAGGATTGGACTGAGCTAATTTGTCACTATTTGCTTGTTCCTTGTGATCAGGCTGAATTCTAGCCTGGCTTCTCAAAATATAGATGAAAGGGGAACCTGGGAGGGTGTCAAATCCCTGTGAGAATGGCAAAGAAGGCCTCTCGCCTAGGAGAGTCTTGTTCTGAGCAGTTGGCAGTAGCTACGATCTGTGTCAGTGTGGGGAAATGTAAGACTCTGGGGAGTTAATGCCATTCTGGTAGCCCTGTGTTACCCTTCAGTGTTTAACCACTTCCCAGATTTCCTTATCATTTGCCATAAAGAAGCTTTCAACCTTGTGTGTCCATCGGAATGTTTCCTCTTTTCTCATCACTATCATATGGACACCCTCAATGTATAAATGCTTGGCAAATCCAGAAGCACAATGGAAGTTTGTTTCTTTCTGTAGCCCACTCTGTCAGACACTTACCCAAGCCTAAGTGAAGTGGGTTCACCTGCAGAAAGAAAATCCTAGTTTCTCATGGCTTCTTTCACTTACCTCAACCCTGTCTTGAGAACACTCTCTAAAATCCCTTCTCATCAATGTGGATGTATCCTTTTCACATTCCCAATTTCAGTCCCTCTCTCCTTTTAAAGAAAATCTGAGACAGGACTTCTGGGCTTGACTAGCAGCAAGGAAAACACATGATGCCTAGGAAGCGAGACTCAGTTGGAGGAAGAAACAGCTATTCTGGAGTAGCTAGCTCTCTGCTTTGGTGTCAGAATTGTCTGAGACCTGGTCTCCACTTAACTCCATCTCTGCATCTCCATACTCACCTGCCGAGGAAGATGCGGCAGCAGGTTGTGCAAAATAATAGGAAAAACCTCCCATCCAGCCCTCCTCACTCATCCCTCCCATGTCCTCTTGATTCACCAATTTATACAATAAATGTTGAGTGTCTGCTATGTACTGGTACTGTTCTAGATAATGTGGGGGGATAAGGGGACAGAGCTGCCTTTACATGCTAGTGGAAGAGGGGAGGATAAATGATAAACAAGATAAACAAGTAACTGTAGTGTGTCAGGTGGTTTCAGTGCTATGGAGAAAAATGAGGAGTAGAGAGAGTTGCAGGGGATAGTCTGCAATTTTAAATCAAATTTAAAACAAGCCTATGGATATCTAGGGGCACAACTTTCTGGAAAGCAGCCAGTACAAAGGCCCAGAGGCCAGAGCATTTGTATGTGAGAGCCAAGCAAAGGGGCCAATGTGCTGAAGTAAAGTGAGCAGACCAGAATGAGGGAATGAGGTCTGAGAGATCAGGAGCAAAGGGATGAGATTATGCAGTGCCTTGGAGGCCACAATAAAGATTTGGGTTTTTAATCCATATGAGCTGGAAAGCTAGGAGCACAGGAGTGTCATAATCTGACTTGTGTTCAAAGGGTTCACCCTGGCTACCCTGCTGAGACTAGATTAGAGGGAGGCAAGGGCAGGGCGGGGAGACCTGTAAGGTTGCCATAACCATTATCCAGATGAGAAATGATGTTGGCTGGGAATAAGGTAGCTGTGAGAAATGTCATATTTTCAAACTCAATCCGGTAGGATTTATTGATGGATTAAATATATGATGTGAGGAAAAAGATGGAGATAGAGATGGCCCCAAAGCTTTTGGCCTGAGAAACTATAACAGTGGAATTGCCATTCGATCATAGAACAAGATCACTGAATGCTTGGAGTCCTGCTAAACACTGCTCCTTCTGGCTGGGATGTATGGTGGGTCTAAAAAGTCTAATTTCATCTGAGAGACTTACCAATTTTATCCTCCTCTTAAATAAACCAAATAACAAATATGTCAAATTGCAAAGCAAAAGATTTATTGAAATAGGATGACCGCATATGCCTAACACAATGAAGAATGTGACAATTCTTATTTTTTACAAAGTATTTCATTCTTGCCTACGCGTGTCTAAGTGACTTGCCTAAGCATGAAAGCAAAACAAATAAACCCAAAACTTGGTGCTACCTATTAACTTTCATGAGGCAACCATAGCTGTTTTTAAATCAAGCTTCAGAACTGCTGAATTGCACAAACTTAAATGCTCTTGGCCACATGCAATCCCTGCTTCTCACAAAAAGCAAAAAAGATAATAAGGAGGAAAAAGCATAATTCAAAAATATAAGGTAAAGGAATTTTTTGTCTCTAGGTCTATGCTCAAATTCATCTTTTTCTGACCATAGGGCAAAGCAATGGAACCAGTTCTCTAGCTCTTGTTGTGTCTCTTGCTCTCTCCCTCCATACATTTTTAAATAATTTTTAATCCATTTATCATTGTGTATAACTGTATGTGACCAGAAGCATTGAATATATTTTTATCACATTTTGGAGAAATTTTCATGAGGAATTGTGCAAATGTTCTCCAAAATATACTTCCTCACAAGAAAGACAGCCTTAAACAGATATGTAAGATAAAGCCAAAAGTGAAGAAAGCAGCTTTCTGTTGATTACACTGAGCCTTAGGCTACGTACCTTTACTGGGGTGCAGTGGAGCTGCTAGGAACTTGTTGGGGGGCTTTAGCTGGCCCTATGATCTCTGCCAATACCAGGCCCTCTCCCGAGTAAACCTGTCACCCACTGAGTGCTCTCAGCTTCAAGCCAGCATCTCCACCTGGTTCTCAGCCATCCCACATGTCTCCAGTCAAACTGTAATTCATAAGATCCTTGTACATAGGAGTTCCTAATGTGCAACTGGCAAGAGACCCTTCATCGGGAAGGTAGAGTAGTGAGGGTGGTATAAATTGGAGTTAAGGTTTCTTTTTTATTTTGTTGCGAAATATATTATACCTGATTTTGAGAATAAGGTTGAATTCTTCTAAGGTAACATTAAGAAACAAAATAAAAACAGAAAAGAAAACCTTAATATGAGTATGTGCTAAATGAAAAAAATTGTATTGAGTAGACATCCTTCAGTATTTAGATGTTATTGTGGATAATCTTAATCTAGATATTCCTCCAGAGACTTGAGGTTCTTTGCAAGTACTATTGTTATTTACATAGGTTAAAAGATTGGTTCACTAAGTGGAAATGATTTATATAGAAAATAAATGTATGCAAAAATATCCTATATAATAGAAGGGTGATATGCAAATAAACTGGCAGAACCACCACCAAAGGGCAGACGCTCAATGCAGGAGCTGCCCCCTGGTGGTAAATGTGCTCTCATAGGGGGACCACTGCTCAGCCAGAAGCCAGGGAGCCTCTCCTGCCTCTGCTGCAGCGCTAAGGATGTCCGACTGCTGGACACCCCCGAGGGCTCCCAGACTGTGAAAAGGCACAGGCCAGACTGAGGGACCACCTTCCCCCACCCGCTAGTGCATGAATGTCGTGCACCAGGCCTCTAGTATTTATATAAAATAGAAATATATGGGAATATATTCATTCATATAAAATGTTCATTCATATAAAAGTTGGCACATCTATCTCAAATTGTGTCAATAGAGAGTGAAAAAGGTTGCTTGTCTATAATGCTATTTGTCAAAATTAATTCAACAACAGTTTGTTAAATGCCTACTATTCCTTGGTTTTTACATTTTTCAGGACAGTGGAGATTGTTGTTAGGGATGTTACATTCAGAAGTAAAGCTCTATATTTCATAGAGCCCTTATTCTCTGCCTCTTTAAATTCTAATGTGTTGGAAGTGGATATGTTGCTTAAATTCAGTTTACAAATGAAATATAAAGGAAGAAATAATGGATAAACAAAGAAGTCGCAAAAGTGTGACATTGCTTTAAGAAGAATAAAAACAATTTTCAATGAGATACTTCAAGCATGAGCCATCCCATTCCCAGAGAGCTTTTGATTTCCATGTTGCAGAGCACACCACACCACTTCAAGGACATTTCACACATCTCTCTTCACTTCTCTGACTTCTTCTGTCTAGCATGGGCTGATATATTTCAGCCACTACACAGTAACCAGTGTGAGGTGTTACAGCTTCAATTTCAACCACTCTGTGAGTTCCTTCATATACCTTTCGTTCCTATATACAAGGGAAAAGAGAAGAGATGATAAATGGTTTTCAGTAGGTCACTGGTTTCCTCTATTTTTGATACAATTAATAAGTTGTTCCTGGTCACAGTAGTAGATGGGCTATAGGGTTTCTTCCTAGACACAGCCTCTTTCTCCAGAGTCCTGGAACACAGCCTAATACAGAGGCAGGTCAAGTGACTGTGTAGGTTCTACATGAGGGCTGCTGATTGACCCAGTGGTCAATCTCTTTGTCAAGAATTTAAACTGTGCAGTGAGGAGAATTGAGTAGATTTGGAGACAGCTGTAGACATGCAACATGTGACCACAGAGAGGCAGAATAGGGTTCTTGAAGACTTGCTTCTCCATTTCTCCTTCCCAGCCATTAGAAAGCTGAGCAGCACTTTACTCTTGCTTCTGGCTGTCCCTAAGATTGCTTGTTATTTCCTAACTAGAGGCCCGGTGCACAAAAATTTGTGCACTCGCAGGTAGGGGGTCCCTCAACCTGGCCTGTGCCCTCTCTCAGTCTGGGACCCCTCGGGGATAACCACTTGCTGGCTTAGGCCTGCTCCCCAGGGGATTGGGCCTAAGATGGCAATCAGACATCCCTCTGGCAGCCCAGCAGCCCTTGGGGGATGTCCATTTGCCAGCGGGGAGCAGACCTAAGCTGCAGTCAGACATCATTAGCGCTGCTGAGGAGGCGGGAGAGGCTCCCGCCACTACTGCTGTACTGACAGCCATCAGCCTGGCTTGTGGCTGAGCAGAGCTCCCCCCTGTGAGAGTGCACTGACCACCAGGGGGCAGCTCCTGCATTGAGCATCTGCCCCCTGGTGGTCAGTGTGTGTCATAGTGACCAGTCATTTCCAGTCTTTCTGCTGTTAGGGTCAGTTTGCATATTACCCTTTTACTATATAGGATAGAGGCCTGGTGCACGGGTGGGGGCCAACTGGTTTGCCCTGAAGGGTGTCCCGGATCAGGGTGGGGGTCCCGCTTGGGTGCCTGGCCAGCCTGGATGACGGGCTGATGGCTGTTTGCAGCTGGTCACACCCCATCAGCCAGCCTGGATGAGTGGCTGAGGGCCGTTTTCAGGCTGGCAGGCGACTGAAGCTCCCAGCCTCTTTTTTTTTCTTTTTATTCTGGGATTTATTTACCTTCTATAGCTATCACTGGAGCTGAGAGCCTGCTCCAGCTCTGAGGCCTGGCTCCAGCTCTGAGGCCGTAGCTGGCTGAAAGCAGGTATCTGGGGTTTGTTTAGCTTCTATAATTGAAACATTGTTGCTGTCCTGCTCGCTCCAGCTCTGAGGCCGCGGCTGGCTGAAAGCAGGTATCTGGGTTTGTTTAGCTTCTATAATTGAAACTCTGTTGCCATCACTGGCGCTCTAAGCTCTGAGGCCCCGGCTGGCTGAAAGCAGGTATCTGGGGTTTGTTTAGCTTCTATAATTGAAACATTGTTGCTTCCAGAGCTCAGAGCTGGGCTGCGGCAGGTGGGGAACCTTGGCTTCCTCCATCACTGGAGCAAGCAAGCCTCATGTTCGCTTCAGCTGCGTGGCTGCCGGCTGCCATCTTTGTTGGCAGTTAATTTGCATATCCTGCTGATTAGCCAATGGGAAGCATAGCGGAGGTATGGTTAATTACCATATTTGTCTATTATTAGATATGATTAAACTCCTCCCCTCCACTAACCAGTTTGAATGGGGTTTTGTTCCTTAGAACTTAAGGAACCCTGTCTTAGAAGGCCACACAAAAGAAGGAACATTCAATTAACCACCAAATCAAAATAAAGGCACTGACAATGAATTAAAATATCATAGCAAAATGACACAAATATATAATGCTCTGACTCAAAAGCCATTTAAAAACAAGATTTGCAAAGTCCATAAAAATGAATATTTGTGGCAGTCAAATGGAATTAAATATTGTTAATACCAATCTTTAGATGTGCAGGGAAGATCAAGTGGAGACAAGCTGAGTGACTGAAAAGATACAAACACACATGCACAGATTCTTAATTTAATGCCAAGCACTAATTCCTCATCAATAAGGGTGAAGGTGAGAAGGAGCTAAAAAAGAAATCTCAGGAAAAATGAAAAGGAATAGAATAAAAGAGAGAAGACATATTTTATGACTGAAATGTGAGTCAAATGAACAACAACAAAAAAACAGACTTATCTATTCATCTGAACTTACCTTTTCTAGTGAGTTGTTAATTATAAAGACTCGGTATACTAGCTCATAGTAATTTTCCATTGATACATTTTTTCCTTTTTGGTTTCTATATGGTATCTTTGGAGGATGGAGAATCACCAACAAGGATCCATTGACTTGGGTTATATTCATGCCTGGAGGACCTATTTTTGCTGGAGAAAGAATAGGAAATTTTGATAAGTCATTAAAAAAATGTAATATCCCACATGGATACATTATGCATAATAAATAATTATTAAATTTAGAGATCTGTCAAAAATCATTATGAAGAGATACTGTTGATACCTAAAATATAAATATCTGAGAAATATCTTTGAAGGTAATTTTTTATTTTCAAAGACTCATAGATTCTATTTCAGCTATAAGAGTACATTTATCAATCATTTCCATATGCACTGATTGTTTAGGAAAATGAAGTCTAAAGTTTTGTTTATTGGTTATGTTTTTATTCCCTTTGTTATATCATTTAACTTATTTTAGCTGCTTTCAATATTACAATACTTGAAGTGCTGAATGGGTCAATGTTTGTTGCTTCTGTCCATCTGCTTCCTGTGCTTTTATTGTGAGCACACATTTAAAAGTTAATATGTTCTTTTTGTTGATTTGGTTTGAATTTTGTAATTTTAAATAAACTTTTTATTGACCTATAAAATAGATCTAGACTAGGGGTGGGCAAACTTTTTGACTCGAGGACCACAATGGGTTCTTAAACTGGACCGGAGGGCCGGAACAAAAGCCTGGATGGAGTGTTTGTGTGAACTAATATAAATTCAAAGTAAACATCATTACATAAAAGGGTATGGTCTTTTCTTTTTTTAGTTTTATTCATTTCAAACGGGCCGGATCCGGCCCGCGGGCTGTAATTTGCCCACGGCTGATCTAGATAAAAAATAAATCACAAGGCTTCAGCTCAACAAATTGTCTAGGTACCACTCAGATCAAGAAACAGGACATTACTAGCACTCAGAAACCGCCTCTATGTTCCCTCTAAGTAATTAACCCCAGAAGATAACCACTATTGTCCTTACTTCTATTTACATATACATTAATTTTTAGAATCATATCATATATACTTTTTTGTGTGCCTGGCTTCTTTTACTATATACATATATAAAATTATGGGCTGAATTATGTTACCCGCAAATTCATGCGTTGAAGTCCTAACCCCTAGTACCTCAGAATATGACTGTAGGGATGACATGACTTTAAAGAGGAAATTAAGGTAAAATGAAATCACAGGGATGGTATGGATAAGCCCTAATCCAAAATGACTGGTGTCCTTATCAGAAGATGTGGACATGTGCAAGCACAGAGGGATGACTATGTGAGAACACAGCAAGAAGATAGCCAGCTATAAGCCAAGGAGAAGTATCAGAAGAAACCAACCCTCTGACACCTTGATCTTCAGAACTGTGGGAAAATAAATGTTTGTTGTTTAAGCCACCAAATCTGTGGTATTTTGCTATGGCAGCCCTAGCAAATATAATTATAATATAATATAATGTAAAATAATATAATATAATAATACAATATAATATCTACAGTAATAAAAGACAAACATGCAAATTGACCATACATTCGCTATGCCTTAAGCCATGCCCACCAGCCAATCAGAGCGACTATATGCAAATTAACCCAACCAAGATGGCGGTCGGCAGCCACGGAGCTGGAGCAAGTAGGAGACTTGGTTGCCCCAATGATGGAGGAAGCCAAGCTTCCCGCCTGCCGTGGCGGCTCTGAGCTCTACTCAAAGCAACAAAGTTTCAATTATAGAAGATAAATAAACCCCAGATACCTGCTTTCAGCCGGCCGTGGCCATGGAGCTGGAGCGAGCAGGAGGCTTGGGTTGCCCCTGGCGATGGAGGAAGCCAAGCTTCCCTCCCGCCCACCCTGGCCGGCTCTGAGCTCCTCTCAAGGCTACAAAGTTTCAATTATAGAAGGTAAATAAATCCCAGAATAAAAAAAAGAAAGAAAAAAAGGAGAGGCTGGGAGCTTCCATCCATCTCCCGGAGGGGCTTGGCCAGCCTGAAAATGGCCCTCAGCCTCTCACCCAGACTAGCCAGGCACCCCAGTGGGGATCCCCCACCCTAAAGGGGGTGTGGCCAGCCTGAAAACAGCCATCAGCCCCTCACCCAGGCTGGCCAGGCACCCCAGTGGGACCCCCACCCTGATCTGGGACACCCTTCAGGGCAAACCAGCTGGCCCCCACCTGTGCACCAGGCTTCTATCCTATATAATAAAAGGGTAATATGCAAATTGACCCTAACAGCAGAATGACTGGGAATGACTGGTCACTATGACACACACTGACCACCAGGGGGCAGATGCTCAATGCAGGAGTTGTCCCCTGGTGGTCAGTGTGCTCCCACAGGGGGAGCTCTGCTCAGCCACAAGCCAGGCTGATGTCTGCCAGCACAGTGGTGGTGGCGGGAGCCTCTCCCGCCTCCTCAGCAGCACTAAGGATGTCCGACTGCAGCTTAGGTCTGCTCCCTGCTGGTAAGTGGATATCCCCCGAGGGCTCCCAGGCTGCCAGAGGGATGTCTGACTGCTAGCTTGGGACCAATCCCCCAGGGAGCAGACCTAAGCCAGCAGGTGGACATCCTCTGAGGGGTCCCAGACTGAAAGAGGGCATAGGCCGGGCTGAGGGACCCTCCCGAGTGCACAAATTTTTGTGCACCGGGCCTCTAGTAATATAATGTATATGTAATTCTTTTGGTTGCTGTGTTGTATTTAATTGTATGAGTATCACAGTTTATTGTGTTATTCACTAGGTTGTTTCTAGTATTTTAATATTATGAGTAAAGTTGCTATGAGCATTCTTGTACACGTCATTGGGGAAATATGCATTTTGTTGGGAATATAACTAAGAATAGACTTTCTGGGTGATAGATGTTGCCAGTTTTCACAGTGGATACACCAATTTATATTCTCTTTAGTATATGAAAGTTCCAGTTCTTTACATTCTCTCTAACACTTAGCTTTATTATCTTAACATTTTTTAATTTTAGCCATTCTGGTAAGTGTGTGCACTTATTCTTTCTGTTTTTAAATTACATTTCCTGATGACTAATGGAATTTAATGTTCATTGCATATTTGGATATTTTTGTGAAGAGTCTGATCAAACTTCTTGCCCATTTTTAATCTGTTGTCTTATTATTAATTTGTACGAGTTCTTTTTACATTCTAGACATAGTCCTTTGTCAAATATGTGCATTATTTATATCTTCTGTCTGTAGGTTGCCTTTTCATCACTTTAATGGTATATTTTTAAAAGTAGAAGTTTGTAATTTTAGTGTAATCCTATTTATTAGTTATTTCCTTCATCACTAGTACTTTTGAACTCAGGTTTAAGTATTTGGCTCTGTAACCTGGTACAACCTCAAGTTGATGTTTACTGAAACATGAAAGTTGAATATATTTGAATCTCAGGCCTTTTTGAACTTGGAAAATTCTTGATTCCTAACTGAGTCAAAACTGAAACATACACCTTTCATTGCTGTTTCTCTTCTTTGATGGCAAGGCTTTCCCGAGTCGGCTCTTTCATAGAGAACTGTTGGTGCAGTGGATTGGGCTTGAATTTCAAGTTATTCCAAAAAATATGTGCTGGATACCATGGATTGGTTTGCTTAGTTCTCATTCCGCTCCTGCTAGTTGAAGAATTAGAAAACTAAACATCTAGCATTTTGGCCATGATCCAATTAGTTTGGCTCTAATGGGACATAGCACCAGCTATCATTAGGCAATTGAGGTAATAATGCTGCAAGTTGTAAGATACATCTTTTATACTTCCCTGAGGGTAACTGCAAACTGGAGAAAGATAAGCACAGTACAGACCATTTGGCCAATAATGGACCCTGATTCTGAGCTGATAGTAATCCTTGGGGACTCAGAATGCCCTGTGGGTTCTTGTAGCTGTCGGGTAATAAAAGCAGATTCAATGAGATATACATACCAACTGACAGGATCAATGCCCATTTTGGCTTTCTGAGTTGTGGCATGAAAGTTATTATGGGATGAAAGGCCAAATGGAAGCCAGTGGGATTCCTCCTCTGAACAAAATTGAAAATCAAAAGTACTATTGTATCCCAGGGGAAACAGCAGAGATTTGTGCATCAAAAGAACACCTTGGCTCTAGCTGGTTTGGCTCAGTGGATAGAGCTTTGGTTTGTGGATTGAAGGGTCCCAGGTTTGATTCCGGTCAAGGGCACATGCCCAGGTTGCGGGCTTGATCCCCAGTAGGGGGCGTGCAGGAGGCAGCCAATCAATGTTTCTCTCTCATAGATGCTTCTATCTCTCTCTCCCTCTCCCTTCCTCTCTGAAATCAATAAAAATATATTTTAAAAAACACCTTGAATGATGTGGAGGTAGTAAGATGTATTACTTCCCCCATGCAACTCATTTATTTGAATTATATCCTCTTTTTTGCCCCCTACTTCCCCCCCAAAAGATGGAATAATGAAAGGGATAATTGTAAATGCACTCAGGTAGTGACCATGGTGTAACTCATTATAGTAACCGTTCTGGAGCCAATCAACACAGCCTTTAATATACAGTTACTGCTTTAGAGAATGACTCTTTTCCTTCCTTTGTCCAATAGTTAGGTATCAGAAAAGTTCTCTTTCACTTGGCTTCCTTTCGTTTTACTAAAATGTTTTAATTTTATTTTTATTGATTTCAGAGAGGAAGGGAGAGGGAGAGAGAGATCGAAACATTAATGATGAGAATCATTGATAGGCTGTCTCCAGTATGCCCCCTACTGGGGATCAAGCCCACAACCTGGGCATGTGCCCTGACCAATAAGTCATACCGGCCAGGCTCACTTGACTTTCATTGTCATCCTGGCTGTCTGTCACAAATAATCTACAGTCATTGATCTTTTCACAGGATATCCTGTTGGTCCACCAAATTGATCATGTGATACTGATTACATTTGGTGTGCCTAAAGTACTAGGCACTCTAGATGCTTTAGTAAGATACATAGAAGCAGAACATTCTCATTAAATTTCCTCTGCGGTTTGTTGGAGACATTTCCTCTCAAGTGAAAGACAAGTTGCTTTACTTTTCACCCCCTATTACTAAGAAACATTCGCTGGGCTTGCTAGATGAATGAAACATAAAGCACATTTACTTGTGCTATGCATTTTCAAAATATCCCATGAAATTTTGAACTTTTGAGCTTTGATTTCTCCACATTCTCCACATGTTTTGTAATAAAAAAAAAAAAAGTTCAGGTAAGTGTTTCTGAGAATGTGGATAAATCAGAACCTCATGCACTGCTGAGGGAACTGTAAAATGGTACAGTTGCTTGGGAAAACAGTCTGGCAGATCCTCAAATGATTAAACATAGAGTTACTATGTGACCCAGCAATTCCATTCCTAAGGCATGTGCCACAAAGAAATAAAAATATATGTCTACACAAAAACTGGTACATGAATTCCTATAGGAGCACTATTCATAATGGCCAACAGGGGAAAACAACTGAGAAATGGATAAACAAAGTGTGGTCTATCCATATACTAGAATCTGATTCTGTCACAAAAAGACAGGAAGTACTAAAATATGATGCAATAAGAAGAACCTTGCCGAAACCGGTTTGGCTCAGTGGATAGAGCGTCGGCCTGCGGACTGAAAGGTCCCAGGTTCGATTCCGGTCAAGGGCATGTACCTTGGTTGCGGGCACATCCCCAGTGGGGGAGTGTGCAGGAGGCAGCTGATCGATGCTTCTCTCTCATCGATGTTTCTGACTCTCTATCCCTCTCCCTTCCTCTCTGTAAGAAATCAATAAAATGTATTTAAAAAAATAAATAAATTTCCCTTAAAAAAAAAAAAAGAAGAAGAAGAACCTTGAAAACATTATACTAAGTGAAAGAGGCCAGTCACCAAAGACCACATATTATATGAAATGCCAAGCACAGGGTACTTTGTAGAGACAGAAGTAGATTAGTGGTTGCGTAGGGCTGAAAGGCTGGAGAAGTAGAGGAATAGGATGGTGATAGCCAATGTGTATGGAATTTCTTTTTGAGATGGTGAAAATGTTCTAAAATTGAGTGTGGATGATGGTTATACATATTTGTGAATATACAAAAAAATTGAATTGTACACGTTATAAGGGGTGTGAATTATAATTCAATAAAGCTGCTTAAAAATCTAGGTGCAGGCAGTGAAGGTCCACTTCCCTAGTGTCCCATACTTGCTTGATAGACTCATGAATAAAATGGTTGTGTGAAATGGATGGAGGTCATAGACTCAACCATATGGACTTCCTCTTGCCAAGGCTGGACTGACACTGCTGAGTGTCCAGTTTCCCAGTAAGATGAGCCAACCCTAGTACATAGTTCATTTTATATAGTAGATATTTTTATCTCTTTCCATGGGGGGGGGGCAAGTGGCATTGGAATAGAAGCTGTAGTTATCAGCAGTCCCCCTGGCCACCCCCCACCATGGATGTAATCATGAATGCCTCATGCATGAGCATGGTACCCCACGCTACATTGCTTATGACAGAAGAACTAAGTTAATGTGGAAGAAGTGAAGCCTTACCATATATTCTGTTTCAGCGATGGGGCTTTATATGAAGTAAAGTGGATAACTGAAAACTCAGTTTGGGAGACGACGCCTTGGGAACTTGTCTAGGAATTCGTATTTGCTCTAATCTTGTGACCAATATATGGCGCTATACCTTCCTTCCATAGACAGAATTCACTGGTTTAAGATACAAGACATGGTGGTAGGAAAAGCAGTTCTCATAGCAACTGACTCATGAAATTGTTGTTTCCCATACACTTGATCCTTAATCATTCTGGATAATAACAACAATAGTTTCCAATACTTAAAAGTTAAGGCTGCCTCCTAACTGTTTGAAGCTCTTGGTGCCATTTAACCAACAAAGCGAAAATAAGGTCCATGTGTTGTCTGGGACGATTGATTCTGATTATCAAGAGGAAATAGAATTGTTATAGATACACCGGGGTCAGGGAGAAGTATGCCTGATATCCCTTGAGGTGCCTCCTAGAACTCTCTATCCTGTGATAAAAAATGAATGTAAGATTATGTCCAGCTTATACAAGAAAGACCAAAAGAACTCAAACTCCTCATGACTGAAGAGCTGAGTTGCTGGCTGGAAAGAAAGTGAACATTGAATTAATAGTGAGAGAAGAAATTAAAAATATTAACTACAGCTTCATGACTAGTTGCAATTATGAGGACTATAATATGTAACATTTTCTTTCTTGTTTTGTTATGCATATCTTTGTATATATGCATTAAACACTCTTTTTTCTTTCCCCTTTGTCTACTCTTTTATATAAGGTCTGTTGGTAATGATTTATTTCATAATTTACATATTTGATTATAATATTATTCTTAGATTATGATTACCTTAGAAAAAGAATATACATCATGGAGATATGAATAAGAGAGCGAACTTTTTGTCTCCCCTTTGGGGAAGTAGCAAAAGTCTTAATTTCCTCAACAGAGAATTCTTCTAATGAGTATTTTCAGGAATTTAACCCCCATTATTAGGAGGGGTCTAGGGTGGTACAACTCGTTTCTGCTATCTAAAACTCCTTTTTAAATTATTATTACCTAGGAGGTAACAATCTGGCAGAGCGACAGAGTGTCGACTCTGCAGTCAGATGCAGCAGAATTTGAATCCTGATCTGGTTATACAGGCTGAGCAACTACTGAAGCCTCCGTGCCTTGATTTCCTGGGCTGTGAAGTAAGGGTAGTGGCCGCCATCTTCCAGCATTGTTCTGAGTATTTGATCAAGTGAGATGATGGTGTGGACCTCTGCAAAACACAGGGCCTTGCAACTAGACATACTCTAGGAAGGCTACTCAAGGGCAGGAAAAGCAAATGCAAAGAAACTCCATGGACTCACTTTCCCACCAGGGTGTGAACCGCCGTGTCATGGTCCAGGCTGAGTGGGTCCCAGCCACAGCCGTCTTCACCCTTCCGTAATAAGCCTCCTGAACATCTGAGGTTTCATTGGTAAGGTCACAAAAGAGTTCCGGAATACCCCAACAGTCCTCTTTATTTTTCCATTGTCTCTGTCCGTAGCTATAAAAGGGAAAAGACAAATTTGAGTGTCTTCTTTCTGTTGAAGGAGTGCGCAGTTTTCTCTGTTAATATTTTAGACTGGTTGAAAATTGTTCTCCAATATCAGTACTACTATAAAGGCTTATGGCTACTCTTAAGTATCCTTAAGAAGATTTCTTCTTGTCAACCAAAGTATTCTCTTGATAAAACATAAACTCAAGCCTGACACCTTCTGTATCACTAACCTAGAGCTTGTTTTATTAAAAATACTTTGTGGTTGTTCTTCTGGTCTATGGACCAACTTTTATTTTTGAGAACTGGCTCTCCACATCCTTAATGCTTCTGAGGATTCAACTCTGTGGTTTTCCTCACTTCTCATCAGCTTGCTGTTGAGTAATGTGGCTGATTCTGAGAAGTTGCTACTACTTTTTATCTCAGGTGATGCCTACCCAACACATAGAACCAATTTCTTTATTGGAAATAGAGTGGGGGTTGTAGTGAGTGCTATGTGAGGAGCTGGAAAAGAGAGAGGGGTACCCATAAAATTGTTCAAAAGGTAGCAAGGCAGAGACAGATAGGCTGATTCATCCTGAGACTAGGGGATGGTGTAACAGCAAAGGGGAAGATCAGTGCTTACTTCCTTACCAGTCATAAATCGGAGAAAATGCAATAAGATAACAGTGGGAGCAGAGCACGAATTAGAGGCCAGGAGAAAGGCTTCAACGTATTTGTTGAAGGACTTGAAATCTCTGACTTTCTAGCCATAGGAATATTGCTGATATCTTTACTTTGTAAACTATATGACAGCAGTTTCACTATATCAGAAGATACCATAAAAAAAAAAGAACCAACATCATAGATTAAGCACGATTTAATGTTTTTTAATTGTTATTTATTGATGAGAAATTGTCTTTGCTCGCTGAGTTTAGTATAATGACTGGCCTCTCTATTAATGTGATACCTTATTTTTTGTCCTACCCCAAATGGGACAGGCATCAATTATAGGCCCATATGAACTGGATAGAACCAAAAGGAATGATTTCAAAAATATAAATCCGCACTGTGCTGTTGAAAATACCACAGAGCTAAGAAGGGATCCAGGTAGTCTGAATTTTATACACGTTTGGGAGCCTTCGTTAAGAAAAAGAATTACAAATATAAAATTCTTCTATGTTGCCTTTAAGTTTAACCTTCATTAGTATCATGATAAAACAACTCCTAATCCACTTTTTATATTGGACCACAAATAGGCCCACTTTGGACCTGTTTATATTGCCTACGGAGGAAGGGCAAGAACACTCCTCCCAACTCCCTACATGCTGGAAGCATCTCCAGCTATGCACGCATCTGTTTTTGAAATGGAGGAATCTTTATAGTAAAGCTTTGTAAATTTTACCCAAATGTAAGAAAAGCTGCGGTAGTTACAGGCTGATAAAATTCCAGAAATATTTCTTCTGAAGTTAGTGAGAGGTTAATGAATGGAAACATTGGACCTTGGACCTACTCCATGCTGGAGAGACATGAATTTATGGAATAAAAATTGTTATTTTGGTCCAGAGCTACACCTGGTTTCTAAATTTATGATGAAAAACCTTCAAAATAAAGGGTCGTATTTCCTGTCTCACGTTCAGTCAGCACCGCAAACTATGTAAGAGAGGAAAGAGCCTCAAAAATACCCCAGGAAATGCTTGAGTGGGAAAACCTGTCATTTGCAAATCAGGAACCTCTGTTCCAGGCCTCGGTCCAGGAAAGGAGCTGATCTTATCTGAGGTTTGGCAAGGATCCCGCAGAACTAGCTTGAAGCTTACTCGAGAGGAACATGCAGCAGCGCGTTCCAATTCATGTTCATGCTTACAGGAGTCATTAATTTTTGAAATGCATTTTCTAAATAGTAAACACACTCTAAAAAATGACTTTTACATTAAAAATATATTTTACACACTGACCTCCATGTGACCCACAACTTCTTTTTCAGTATGAATAGTGTCAACTTAGTGAAGTGACTGCTGTATGCTTAGCAAGCTGTTTCCAACACTCACTTGACAAATAGTAATTTGAGTGCCCACTATGTGCCAGACTGCTGTGACGCTGAAGGCTGAGCCTGCAAGGTCTTGGTGCTGGTTTTTACAGGATGACATATGCCCCCAGCATTTTACACCACATCATGCAGTTTGTGTCACCAGGTGGCCTTCAGGGGAGACAAGGCAATCCTGTCCCTTACCTCTGCTTTTTCTCAGTCTTTCTGACACTGAAATAATGCTCATATTCTTACATTCCATTGCATTCTAGAAAATGTTCTCCCCGTGGCCATGTCTATCAGTTGGAGGAAGCTCAAATTACTTACATTTTATATTGTACAAAGTAGATACTGCTGCTGCTGGCAGAAGCCCTCCCAGGCTGCCAGTGCAAAACGTTGTGAAAGTTCCGGGACTGAAAATGTACTCTCTGAGGCTTCAGAGACTCATGGGCTGGATGAGTTTCTAAAATAATAGAGAAGGGAAAACACTGAACATTATTAATATGCGCACCATTGTTATTTTTTAAATATATTTAATTGATTTTTTACAGAGAGGAAAGGAGAGGGATAGAGAGTTAGAAACATCGATGAGAGAGAAACATCCATCAGCTGCCTCCTGCACAACTACTTGGGGATGTGCCCGCAACCAAGGTACATGCCCTTGACCAGAATCGAACCTGGGACCCTTCAGTCCGCAGGCCGACGCTCTATCCACTGAGCCAAACTGGTTAGGGCACGCACCATTGTTATTAATGTAGTTTTCAATGTAATACCTGAGGTGGGATTCCCTAAAGAAGTTGCTGTCAATGCAGATAATGGAAGTGGAGCCCAGAAATCATCATTTTGAATCTTCAATGTGATGATTTTTATGCATGCTGAAGTTTCAGGACCATTGTGTTTCAGACTATCAACACCTAAGTGATATCCTCTCATCCCATTCCCAAACCGTAGAGGAAATAAAGAGCAGTGGGAAAATACTGTCCTTAGTCCCTTCCCTGAGGGTCATGGAATGTAAGGACTGAGATGAAAGACCCATGCCAAGGCCACTCTCCCACCTTCTTAGGAGCCCTGTATGACTGCTCCTCTGATAGAGCATTTTGCCTTGGATCAATTTTGGCTCTAGGACCTCAGCCCAGCACTCAGTTCTTCCTTTCTCAGGTTCTTGCTCAATCTCTGGGTCCTGCCTCAGTGTCCTCCACCTCTCCCAGAGGACCCACCTATATTCCAGGTAGGCCGGCTTTGCTGTCCCACTCCTGAAGGTCTGCACTGATTGGCCTAAGTCCTGGCTTCAAGTGTAAGTGCTCAGCTAAACTGGCCCATGCTATGAAGGAGAGCCGCCCAAGGCCCTGCCATGGGCCCAGTGTCCCTGAGAAGGCTCTCAACAGCAATCATGGCAGGAAAGGATAACTTTGCCCTGACATGGCTTGTACTTTCCACCTCAGGTCATGTGACATGGGTGGTGCAGTCTCACCTGTTCTTAGTCCCATGGAGGCAAGAGACCTTTGACAATATTTTATTCTAGAGTCTGAAGAAAACCAGAATGTGTCACCCCAAAATATGCCTCTTTTGACATAAAAAAACTTATTTTGAGCTGAAGGCAAGTAAGCAATGCAGGCAGGAAAAGCCCCCTCCCCCCCCCCCCGCCCCCTTCCCGCTTTTTCTGACTAAAGGCAGTATATAAATTCTTCTTTTACCAAGACTGACTCTTACCCGCCCAGAGATGGCACCAGAAGAATCTGCCAACAAATCGCACTCCATTAGTTTCCTCTCATATATTTACTTTTCTGTAGTTTCCCACCCTTGCAAGCCTAAAATTGCTTTCATTTGTCCTGTCATGTCTCTACAAATGTATTTTTATTTATTTTTTTGATGAAGATGCTACATAAGCTAGAATTCTAACCCACCATTTTGAGTTACTCTGTTTAGGTTTCTCATTTGTGATGTGCTCTGTATGCATTAATAAGCTGTTTTTCTCTTGTTAATCTTTCTTTCTGTTAAAGCATCCTAGCTGTGAACCTAAGATGGGCAGAGGTAGAGCTTCACCTCCTGGGCAGGTTCAAGGTTTCTGAAAAGCGCTAGGACAGTGGTCAGCAAACTGCAGCTCGCGAGCCACATGCAGCTCTTTGGCCCCTTGAGTGTGGCTCTTCCACAAAATACCACGTGCGGACGCGCACGTACAGTGCGATTGAAACTTCATGGCCCATGCGCAGAAGTCGGTTTTCAGAAAGGAGACAGACGAAACAAGTATACAAGACGAGTGTGGATGGGAGAGTTGGAAGGGGTCGACCTCAGCGAACGTACCTCAATCAGATTGAGGACATTTTTAGCAAAGGCCAGCTTAGGAGTACCCTAATGAAGTTAAAACAATGTACCTACCTATATAGTTTAAGTTTAAAAAATTTGGCTCTCAAAAGAAATTTCAATCGTTGTACTGTTGATATTTGGCTCTATTGACTAATGAGTTTGCCAACCACTGGGCTAGGAAGTTGGGCAGAAGGAGGAGTCAGGAAGCATAACCCCTGTTTTCCCTGACGTCATTTTCTTTCTCCTGCTCCACCTGTGGGTGTGGTCCCCACTGAAGTTCCTTCCCTTTTCCTGAATGCTCCTCCCTGGATTTCCACATACATCAAGTCTTTGCTCAAATATCATTGAGGTGGAAGCAAGTAATCCTAAACCCATAATCTCAGCTCTGAACATTCAAGATGTGTTATTTCTAATGTTTGTTTCTTTTTACCACCCAAATAGTGTTACTACTCTTATTAAGGGGGGAGGGCGTTTTTATTTTTTGACCTCCTTCAGTGCATCACATGGTGGTGTGTACTTGGAAAGAGTCTATTGCCACCGTTAATTTTGCTCACTAAAATGCTGCGTAATCACTCATATTTAGTACATAAAACTCCCCTGAGTTTTTGGGAGATGACAGGCACAGAGTCCTTGCCTGGAGTTGATTTGCTGCCCTGAAGATAGATGATTCAGGGTCCCTTACCTATCTACGGATTTCTTCTCTAATTTTTGTAAGACAGTCATCAAAATAATAGCAAATCACTCTGTACCAGACACTGAGGGGCTTTTATCTGCATTAACTCATTTAATCTGCCCCACTTTTCTATGAAAAATGGACTATTGTCATCTTCCTCTCACAGACTTAAAAACTAAGCCTTGTTGAGCAGAAGGAACTTGTGTAGCAGCAAACTCCAGAGCCTGCCTGTCACCACGGAAAACCAAGTACAAAGCCTCGGGAGAGAAGAGCTAATGGAGAAAACCAAACAACGACAGGCTGGAGATATTCCTCCTCCTCCTCCTCCCCTTCCTCTTCCAGCTGACATTCATTGAACATGAATGTCTATGAACATTAAACATGTATCAGGCATGGTGCTCAAAGCTTTACATCCTATTTCATTCCCAAATCACTAAATAAAGCAGGTATATTTATTACTATATTTACAATAGGGAAGCTGAGACTTAAAGAAGTTGCCTATCTTGCCCAAGGTTACAGACCCGGTAAGATGCAGAGCCAGGATCATTTGGGTAGCACTGAATTCCTGCCATATTTTGCTAAGTTAGTCCTTGGTGTTACAAGGACCAAAGGCATAGTCTACACAATTGCACACATTTCTGGGAGATGGAGGCTTGAACTGTTTTTATATAATCAGTCACTGGGCAACTGTGTAGTTTTGGGAAACTTACTTGAGTCACTCACATTGAGAGGTACCCATCTGTTAACTGGGGGTCCTAATGGCCTTGCTCAGAGGTATGTTGGGGTGATGATGGTCTCTGCTCTGGAAGAGTTCTCTGTGAATACCGAGAGCAAATTCACACATGTTCTTTACTGTCTCTATTCTGTGCCAGGCATTGCTCCAAGCACTTGGCATATATTAATTCATTTAATCCTCACAATACGTACAATTCCCATTCTACAGATGAAGACATTGAGGCACGGGAGCATTAAGTCATTTGCCCAAGTCTTCCTAAAGAGTAAATGGCAGAGCTGAAATCCAGACTTGGACAATCTGGCTTAGAAGACTTTTTCTACCCACTAAGCTGTCATGTCCCCTGAAGGCAAAAGAAATGCTAAGGAGACAGAGGTGGATGTGTGTTGGTCCTGTATGAATTTTGCACCCACTAGAGTAGCTACTCAATAAGTCCACGTGGAGTTAGTTATTCAGGTTGCAGATAAAAACTGCCCCCACATCTGTTCTGATTATTTCAAGACAGAAGAAAGCTGGAATTTTTACAAAGCCCGGAAAAGCAGCATTGCCATTTCTAATAATCCCTCAAGCACACTCAGATGACAAAACCGTGAGCCATTAGAAAGAAATGAAGCACTTACCTGCAGCACCAGTCAGGAAGAGAGTGACGAGGAAGCCTAGAAGGCAATGTTTAGGCGTCATGGTTGCGCGTGTGACTGGTCAGGCAACCAGTGATCCCCTGAATGAGAGCACAGCTCTGATCAGAAGAGGAAATTGGAATCCTCTTGCAGAGCACCCTCTTCTGAGTTTAGCAGTGGTTCCGTGAATGCATTTTATTAGGGAAATTATGCAAGTGAAGAATTGCTTCAAAACATATTTGCTGTAAGTCACTTTGATGTGGAAGCTCAATTTTGTAGGGATTGAGGCTTCATTAACTGTGGAAAGGGAAAAAAATTCACTGAGGATTGGCAGACTGGAGGGCAGGGTAGGGCAGGAATTGTGCAAGGTGCTCTCAGGTGAGTGAATGGAGCAACTCATGAAATCTTAAAGGAACTTGGGCCCTGGAGGCAAAGGAGCTTATAGTGGGCGTGATTTTGAGTGATGTGCTTGGCAGTTATAGCTGTCAGAGCCCCTGGCAGTGGTTCAAAGCAGGTGGGGTCTCTGACTGTTTTTCTTTTTCCTCCCTTATTGGAAGCTCTCTGAGTAAACTTCTTGGTACATCTCGTACCCTCCACACCCTCTGGCTCCCTGCAGCGCTCCCTGCCATACTCGTTGGTCTGATCCCCACTCAAGTAATGCCTGTTCCTTTCTATTCCCAACCTCAGTTCTTATGAATCTGATATTGTGAGTGATTTCTGAGTAAGTCAAACCGAATGAGTCTTTAAAAGTGAATCTGGAGAAATCATTTTGAGCTACGTTAGATCTTTTTCATATCTTTTTGGAAATTTGATTAAACTAGGTTATCTGTTCCTTGTCCATGGTTTATTATGTCATCTTTCTTGCCGGAACAGTATTTATCACATGTTTTTAGAGACACTAAAACTGTACAATAAAGCACAAAAAAGTCAAAGGTGTTTGTTTTTTTTTTAAGAGGCTTAAAAGAGGAAATATATTCTGGCTTCCTTTTCCTTTTATGTAGTCTCAAGTTCTTGGTGGAATGGTCTGTTTAGTAAGTAATAGTGATGGTTGCTGAGCAGTACTCATTCATTCGTTTGTTCTTTCATTCATTCAATAATGTAACGTGTATTTACTGCACTGTCATGTGCTAAGCATTGTTCTCAGAAGCAAGGCTGCAGCCCCTACCTTCCCAAAGCCAACTTCTAAAAGAGAAAGCAGACACTGAAGTATCTATATATATAAAAGCCAAGTGACCGGAATGACCGGTCGCTATGACACACACTGCCGTGGCCAACTGGCCCGATCGGCCCCCGCAACCACCTGCGGCCCCTCCCCATGGCCGGCCCCAATCGGCCCCCTCCACCCTGATCAGGGGCAGGGCCAACTGACCTCCCACCCCACCCCCTCTCCCGCTGCCGGGCCGGCCCCAATCAGCCCCCCTTACCCCAATCAGGGATGGGGCCAGCTGACCGACCTCCTGTGTCCCCTCCCCCCACACTGGCCCAGCCTGATGGCCCCCATTGGGCTGGGCCAGCCGGACCCCACCTATGCAGGAATTTATGCCCTGGGCCTCTAGTGTGAGGATAACACTGTTACCGATTGGGGTAACACCAGTTTTTCCAGTGCTTCCAACTGTCACACTTCTGAATCTACACTCCTTGTCCCCTTCTCCTCCAAGTTAAATTTCTGTTGCTTATAAGCTACCTTAGCTCTCCAAAAGGGGAACTTGCATCACATAATAGATTCGTTCCCTTTGCACCTTCTTGGTGCGCCTTGTCTTCTAGCCTTCTCAGCATCATCCTTCACTCACTTGCTGACATTATCCTCTGAACTCTAGACTTTGCAAAAATGTCGGTATTTAAAGGGGGGATGATTATGTGAGTTTGCACTATTTTTTAAAAAATATGTTTTTATTGATTTTTTAGAGAGAGAAAGGGAGAGATAGAAACATCAATGTGAGAAACATCCTACACACCCCCTACTGGGGATAGAGCCTGAAACCTGGGCATGTGCCCTGACCTGGAATTGAACTGGTGACCTCTTGGTTCATGGGATGATGCTCAATCCACTGAGCCACACTGGCAGAGCTGGATTTATACTATTGATGTTCAATAATTTCAACACCAATATCTCTTGTTTTGAAGCAATCAAATTGCTCCAAATTCCACTTAAGAAAAAAAGAAAAATATTTGAATTCAAAGTTTAAAAAGCAGAGCAGCAGAGAATAAAATTGGGGTTTCTGCTGGGTTACTGACTTGGTAGAACAAATAAAGGGAAATTAGGAGGGAAAGGGAAGAAAGCATAGACTATATTAAAACCTGAATTCTCTCAAATGTGTGAACTTTTATGCTATGTTAAATTTCAGAAACCTAACCAGTTCTGTGAGCATTCAGTGAGCTCTCTAACTGTGTGATATCATATCTGCATTAAAAGCCAACACTGACAGCAATGCCACAAAGTAGATGAAAAGATAAAATTAAATTCTAAAATTCTACCAATTTGGAAGCAGAAGAATTTTACAGAATTGTTTCTGCCCGAGTCCATTCATTGTCTTCACTAGCTGAGTTTAGACAGAGACCCCCAAAAGCTAGTAACCTTTGAAGTCCTAGCAAAGGTCAGAACTGTGCACCACCCAGTTAATCTAGGAACCACCCAGTTAATTTAGGTAATAATAGTTGAAGCATCATCCCCACCTTAGTTCACTTAATTCCTTAGATACTTATGTGGATCCTTGTTGATTATTGTTGATCAGATACTCTGCCTATTCCTGGAAATCATCTACTGATGAGCTAATCAGATACTTTGTCTATTCCTGGAAATTGTCTGCTGATCTGTGTGTCATTGAAACCTCCTTACCTAAGGCTACTCCAAGCTCAATAAAAGATTGGAGCAGCCTGAGCATGGGTGGAAGTCCTTCGGGACTTGCCCACCTGGTCCTCCAATATTGCAAAATTATCTCGTGTCATTTCTCTCTCATTTGTTGTGCGGCTCCTCTTTCAGATACCGAACCCTACTCCACGCAGAACATGGAGGGAGTGTTACTCGACATGTTTCAAGTGAAATGACATTTGCTTTGGGAAGTAAAAACATTAAAGAAAATGGGGGACCCCTGCTCTTCTTTGGTCCAGCCATGAAATGCTGGCTTCAAACTCATTCCCTAGCTGTCCCGCTCTGTCCCTCCCTCTCCCCAACCCCCCTCCCCCTCTCCCCTCCCCACCCTCAGTAGGAAGAGTCCACCTTGACAGTGGGAGTGGATTCCTCCATTGTGTTGGTTTGGAGAGAACTTGCCTAAACTTTGGCCTTGGACAGTCTTTATTCTCTTCCTCTTTTCTCCTTGTGGCTTCTAGCGGGCCAATAATTCATCTAATTAATGGTTTATTATTGATTATTTTTAAGTGTGATATGGGATTTGGGTTATAACTTTTTGTTGTTATTTTTAGAGATGCATATTGAGGTATTACAGATAATATGAATGATGTTTGGGATTTGCTTCAAAACTAAGAGGTTGGGGAAGTGGGCTGTGAGCTGATAATTGTTGAAACTGGGTATTGAGTACATGGAAGTTCATTTTGCTTTCAATTTGTGTGTGTATATATATATACATATATATATAATATTTGGAAATTTTCATAACAAAAGAAAAATACAAGTTTATAAAGATGCCATCTTTATAAAACTCCTTTTGATGATTTTAAATGCCATTTTAGTGTCAATAGTAAGTTAATAAAATTATGGAACACTGGGTTAATTTCTTTCCATGCATTATCTATAATAATAAAAGCATAATATGCTAATTAGACAGCCAAATGACCTTCCAGATGTCATTTTGGACGTCATTCCAGACCAAGCCACGGCAGTGGGGGCCAAGGCATAGGTGGTTAGGGGCGATCAAGCAGGCAGACGAGCAGTTAGGGGTGATCAAGCAGGCAGGCAGAATGGTTAGGGGTGATCAGGCAGTCAGGCAGGCAAGCAATTAGGAGCCAGTGGTCCCAGATTGCGAGAAGGATGTCCAACTGCCAGTTTAGGCAGTTTAGGCCAGATCCTGCAGGGATCCTGGATTGTGAGAGAGTGCAGGCCAGGCTGAGGAACCCCCTCCCCCCGCCCTCCTGTGCATGAATTTTGTGCACTGGGCCTCTAGTCTTAGATCATCATCACAACAAGCCCAGGAGGTTGTTATTATTACCCTGATATTACTGATAAATAAACTGAGATATAGAGAAGCTAAGAGAAACTGACCAGGCTCTATAGCCCATGTGATGACAGAGTGAGGGGTGAATTCAGGTCTGGCTGACCTCAGGGCCTGATACCTATTATAAAATCACTATGTATTGTTCTTCATTTGTAATATTCATTCCATAAAATGATAGAATGATGTCAAAGAAGATTCGGCCATGTATTCCTTTAGTTGATGTTTACTGAGGATGTGCTGTATGCCAGGCATTGTGCCAGGCATACAGCAATGAGAAAGATGGCAAAGCCAGTCCTCATGGAGCCAACATCATTTTCATCAGCCAGGTCTTGGTAGTGAAAGGCCACATGTTTCTTATTCACCTTCAGAAAAGTGTTTAAAAAACTGGTCTTCTGGACTACTTCATCAGGGTTTTATTCAGTGGTCAGTGGACTAGGTTTCTGCTCTAGGCCCTTTCCCTTGTTCTGCGATTTGATTAGTAGATAGCTTTTTAAAATTCTATAATGAATCATAACTTAAACACCACCCTTCTCCCACTCTGACCAATAGACAACCATATGCCTATAGCACCAATAACTGGGAAACTATTTCCTCTTTCTTTTCTGCTGGGCACTCAGTAACTCTTTGGAGTAATACTTATGACCTTTAAGCAGTTCTGCATTCTGGAAATAATTGTCATGCATTTCAAAATAGTTTATGAACTTGAATTAAAAAAAGGAACCTCATTGTCAAAATAGGAAATAAGCACAATGACCAATCCGATCAAGTTTAATTTTAATTGATTTCTGGACTATGAACAGTAATATATTATTTTAAATCTCCATTCATAGGACTTAGGCCTTCATTAAGATAACTTTCTCTACTCTTCATTCATATTGTTATGGATAAACGATGCTCTTAATATTGTTTTGATTGTCCTTGACCAGGATCTTTCACTGATCTTGTAAACCCTATTAGATGATTAATCATTGTGCCTCTACCCTAGCATATGCCTATATATTGTTTTGACTTTAGAAAGATTTTTATGGCATAATCTGGTTCCAACCAGTTGCCAGCCCCTCCACTGCAACCACTTGGGTCATCACTACCATCATCTCTTTTCTGATTTGTGGTTACAGCCTCCTTTCCATTTTCCCTGCCTCTGTTCACTGCTTTAGTTAGGATGGTGCTGGGCACATAATAAACACTTAATGCATATCTGGTGAGTTGATGAAAAGGAATGATATTAGCAGTGGGTATGAATTTACAAGACTTAAGCTAAAAGAACAGGAAGATGCTTCTCTGCTTTTTTTTTATGGTCTGAGATGGTTGTCCTGAGGTATGGTTGTCAGGGGATTCTCTGATCTGTGAAGTCAGTAGGGTTCAGTCAGACACACACGGGCAACACTGGCCTATGCGACACTGTGTAGTGCCACTGCCAACTCTTCAGTTGGACGAGTTAATCTGTGTGACCTGGGAATTAGCTGCTTCCCTAAGACATTTCCTACGTGCTTTTCTAGGGCCATTTGGGCATGGCATTTCTTTGGCAGTTTTCTAATTCTAATTCTCCTATGATCATTTGTCTGTTTAGATTTTCTATCTCTTCCAGGTTCAGTTTCTACAAAATATATTGTTTTTAGAAGAGTGTGCATTTCATTCATGCTTTTAAATTGATTTTCAGAGTTGAGCAAGTTATTCCCTTACAAGGTATTCAATTTTCCCTGCTTCTGTGGTTTCCCTTTTATAATTTCCCATTTTGAGTAATGACATTATCTCCCTTGTTTTCTTACCTTTTTAGTTAAGTTAGTTATTTATCTTTCATTTTATTCAAGGAATCAGATTTTATAATTAGTTATATATTCTACTTTAAAAATTTTTTTGTCTCTTTTCAGATCTTCTTTTACTTTTTCTTTCTGTCTTTATTGAATCTGTTTGAGAATTCTTGAGTCAGATGTTTATTTTACTTATTTTACTATTTATCTTATATTAATACAAGTATTTACACTAGGAATTTACTCTGAAATGTATACCATAGGCTCCCCCTTTGGCTCTTAAGTGAGATATTTTCCTTATTTTTTTCTTCAACAATTTGCAGTTTAGATTACTTTTTCTGATCCAAGTGTTTTTAAAAGAGAGAATTTTAAAAATAACATTTCCAAGTGGAAAGGAGTTTTAATTTTAATTCTCAATTTGCTTTTTCATGCTTTCCAGAGAAGGAAAAGATGCTGACTTATGCAACCACGCACCATGTAGAAATCCACTCTCTTACACCTTTGCTTTTTGGGAGCTGAAGGGCAGGCAGAGAGATAGATTAGTATTAATTTATTCATGAACAAAGATAAACATGGCCAGACAATGTCATATCAGTCCAACAAGATGTACACTTCTAAGCAAAATTTTAAAATTCTCATGAAACTGAGAGTAAGGGAAATACCTTTTGCATTTTAAAATAATGACTTTTGGGGGGGGGGGTCTTATTTTACTGTATCATTTTGTGTAACCATCATAGTAACTCATTAGAGTGTATTTACAGCTTCATTGAAGGCTATTTTTGGAGGTAGTTGCCAGGATGTCAAAGTTAAAGTATGCCATATATTCAGAGAAGTGGTGACTAGAGTTAATAATATCTATACTAATAAAAGGGTAATATGCTAATTAGACTGGGTCGACCGACCATCTTCCGGACATCCAACTTCCTTCCGGACAAAGCCCTGGTGGTGGGGGCTGAGGCAGAGGAGGTTAGGGGCAATCAGGCCAGCAGGAGAGGGTAGTTGGGGGTGAGATCAGGCCAGCAGGGGAGGGCAGTTAGGGGAGAGATCAGGTCAGCAGAGGAGGGCAGTTCGGGGTGATCAGGCAGGCAGAGGCAGTTTGGGTGAGATCAGGCCAGCAGAGGAGGGCAGTTGGGGGCAGTTGGGGGTGAGATCAGGCTGGCAGGGGAGGGCAGTTAGGGGTGATCAGGCAGGCAGGCAGAGAGGTTAGGGGTGATCAGGCAGGCAGGCAGAGGGGTTAGGGACAATCAGGCAGGCATGCAGAGGCAGTCAGGGGCGATCAGGCAGGCAGGCATGTGAGCGGTTAGGAGCCTGTGGTCCCAGACTGAGAGAGGAATGCCCAATTGGAGAGTGTGCAGGCTGGGCTGAGGGACACCCCCCCCCCCCCGCATGAATTTCATGCACCGGGCCACTAGTGTATTGTATATTTGAAAGTTGCTAAGAGAGTAGATCTTACATGTTCTCATCACAAGACAAAAAAAGTTACTACTATATGAGGTGATGGGTGTTAAGTAGACTTATTGTGGTGATCATTTTGCAGATGTGCTATGCCAGTTATATTTCAATTTTTTTAAAAAATCCTATATTCCCAAGAGTATGGACTCTACCTTAATACTGCAGAGGGGCAGTATTGGGTTGGGAACATAAACTGGAAGCTGTAACATCTCTGTTTAGGTTGTTCCTTATCTGGGTCAGTGCAAAACAAAGCCATTTATGAAAGGACAGTTTGAAATGGGAGAGAAAGAAATGGAATTAATGTCCTTATGTACATTAAGATATGAAAAAATTTTTGCAGCTCAGGATCCTACATTCATTGTTCCTTAGGTTTGGAAGTTCCTTCCCAGCTCACTCTCTCCGCAGACCATTTAATTTATGCTTAAGTGCCACTTCCTCAGGAGGCCAACCTGATCCCCAATCTCAATTAGGTCCCCTTGTTATGCTCCAGCGCCAACCCATGCTTTTCCTTCCTTACATTTGTTAGTTTTGTAATTAAGAACTTGATGATTTGTTGTTTCCTTCCCACACTTATGGTAACTAATTTTTTATTAAGTGCTTCCACTGGCCAAATATAGTGTTAAGGGCTCTCTGAGATTATCTCATAATCATATTATAAGTAAAGTCCTGCTATTACCTTTGCTTCATAGTAAACTAAAGGGAAGTAACTGGCTCCAAATTACTTGGTGAGGAGCAAAGTTGGGGTTCTAACTCAGGGTCTGACTTCAGAGCACCTACTCTTAATTAACCACTGCACTGCACATACCCGGAATCAGGACCACCAGTGTGTGCTTGGCTCTTACCAGGTGCTGAATAAATGCTGACTGAAAGAAGAGACTTCTTAGGCCACATAATCATTTCAAATTGATCCATCTTTGAGGTTTTAAATTTAAAGCACCCCTTCTCCAGCTATGATCTTTACATTTGGGTGTTTAGTGAAGTCTTGTTGCTCAGGCTCACAGGCTTCTCCCCACTTCTGTGTGCGACATGCCCTTCTTGATCTCTTACCAGCAGGAGAAAGGGGCCAAGCCAACCTACTCAGTGGTGCTCTCTAATTTCCTCTCCTTCCAACTTCTGGCAATCCCCAATCACATCCCTCATTTTGAAAAAGTGGCTTTGCACTGACCAGTTGTGTGACATGATGGAAGTTACTCTTCGCCTACAAGCCTTCGTTTCTTCACTTATAAAAAACAGGCCATATGGATTTTTAGCCATGAGGTAGCACAAGTGAAGCTCTTAGCATAATGCCTGCACATAGTAAGGACTCAATAAATGTTAGCATTGGTTACTCCTCAGCTCCCCGGTTTCAGAGCTTACTAGAGAATATCAAAGTATCTCCCAAACATAAGCATTAATCTTCAATGGGGAACTCAGTGCAACCCAGCAGGCAATCCTTCTTCTATCTCCTGTTGGCATGGATAATCATCAGATAGCTATCACTGGCTTTATCTTCCTCTATCTGCTTACTTCCTCCCCCCTTTCCTTTGGTTTTTAACTATCTCTGAAATATTTCTACTTCTATAATCTTTTACCACAGCTTAAGCATCCTGGAATACATTCTCTAAGATCTCTTTACCACCAAAGATGCAAATTAAGACCAGCAGGCAGCTGATATTTACTGGAAAAAAGCAATGAGCAGAACCACAGGAACGCCGGCTGAGTGGAAGTCCTACAACTAGGAGGAAAGAGAAACGCATACGGACACTCAGAGGAGGCACAGTGCTGAAGTCAAATTCTGAGGTGCGGAGTGCGCGGAGCGGGCTGGAGGCGGAGGGCGCGGTTGGCGTTTTCAATCGGGAGGGAGTCGCAGACTCTGAGCTCCAGACCCGGGCGAGTCTTTAGGGACCCAGACTCAAACGGGAGAAGCGGGACTGTCTGGCTTCGGTCAGAGCGAGTGCAGCTTTCTCTCTGAGCTTTGCAGCGGGTGCTGGGACTCAGAGAGGCAGAGCCCCTGGGGACGGGACTGAGAGCCGCCATAACTGCTCTCTCCGGCCCACCCTGTTGATCCTGTGCGACCCGCCCCGCCCAAGCCCTGCACAGAGGCTTTTGCCGGATAGCCTCAGGCAAAGGCTAGATTAGCACCTCCCTAGAGGACAGAAGTTCTCTCACTGCTGACACAGCTGATTCTCATAGCCACTTGGCCTGGAGGTCAAACCCTCCCTGGAATTAGCTACAACAATCAAGATTTAACTATAAGACTTCGAACAAAGACCACTAGGGGGTGCACCAAGGAAGCATAACAAAATGCGGAGACAAAGAAACAGGACAAAATTGTCAATGGAAGATATAGAGTTCAGAACCACACTTTTAGGGTCTCTCAAGAACTGTTTAGAAGCCGCCGATAAACTTAATGAGATCTACAAGAAAACTAATGAGACCCTCGATCTTATATTGGGGAACCAACTAGAAATTAAGCATACACGGACTGAAATAACGAATATTATACAGACTCCCGACAGCAGACCAGAGGAGCACAAGAATCAAGTCAATGATTTGAAATGCGAGGAAGCAAAAAACACCCAACTGGAAAAGCAAAATGAAAAAAGAATCCAAAAATGCGAGGATAGTGTAAGGAGCCTCTGGGACAGCTTCAAGCGTACCAACATCAGAATTATAGGGGTGCCAGAAGATGAGAGAGAGCAAGATATTGAAAACCTATTTGAAGAAATCATGACAGAAAACTTCCCCCACCTGGTGAAAGAAATGGACTTACAGGTCCAAGAAGCGCGGAGAACCCCAAACAAAAGGAATCCAAAGAGGACCACACCAAGACACATCATAATTAAAATGCCAAGAGCAAAAGATAAAGAGAGAATCTTAAAAACAGCAAGAGAAAGAAACTCAGTTACCTACAAGGGAATACCCATACGACTGTCAGCTGATTTCTCAACAGAAACTTTGCAGGCCAGAAGGGAGTGGCAAGAAATATTCAAAGTGATGAATACCAAGAACCTACAACCAAGATTACTTTATCCAGCAAAGCTATCATTCAGAATTGAAGGGCAGATAAAGAGCTTCACAGATAAGGAAAAGCTAAAGGAGTTCATCACCACCAAATCAGGATTATATGAAATGCTGAAAGGTATCCTTTAAGAAGAGGAAGAGGAAGAAAAAGGTAAAGATACAAATTATGAACAACAAATATGCATCTATCAACAAGTGAATCTAAGAATCAAGTGAATAAATAATCTGATGAACAGAATGAACTGTTGATTATAATAGAATCAGGGACATAGAAAGGGAATGGACTGACTATTCCTGGGGGGGAAAGGGGTGTGGGAGATTCGGGAAGAGACTGGACAAAAATTGTGCACCTATGGATGAGGACAGTGGGTGGGGAGTGAGGGCGGAGGGTGGGGCGGGAACTGGGAGGAGGGGAGTTATGGGGGGAAAAAAAAGAGGAACAAATGTAATAATCTGAACAATAAAGATTTAATTAAAAAAAAAAGAAGTTTATATAACTAAAAAAAAAAAAAAAAGAAAAAAAGAAAAAAGCAATGAGGCAGAATCCTCATTTCATTACTCATTGAGCAAGTCACTTAACTTGCTGACTCATGGTTTCCTCGTCTAAATGGGAATAATAATTCCTTTCACAGGGTGTTGTAAAGATGAAGTGAGATGGAGTATTTCTGAAAACAGTTTAATAATTATATATTTGTACTTTTGTTTGTTCATTCATTCCTGATTGGTAGTTCTCATAGAAAGTGGCCAAGAGTCCAAGATCCAGAACATAGAGGCACAGAAAGGGAAAATTTGTACAGCAAGTATGGCACCTCATAGATGAGGCTAATCACCCTACAAAGTTGGAGTTTATTATCTAACTCATCCACTAAAAACCAGTATCTTAAGTGTGTCACAGCCAGTATTCTTAGACAATTTATCTTGGCATGGAATGATGGTGCAATGACTCCAGTATTTGGTAACCAGTAATAATTTAGGGAAAATATTTAATAAGCAGGACTGTCAGGAAGACGATCCCTTTGTTAGAGATAACTTTCTCCTAGAGCAAAAAGATAGAGATTTAATGCAACTCCTATGAGGCTAAGTGATTTACCCACAGTCAACATCTTTTGACTAATTTAGTAGGTATATACTGAGTGGCCAGATTATGACCACCTGACGTTTGTAGGCAAATTAGCTATAATTTTGTGCTGACGTTGCTAGCTGGCCAGACCATTATAAATAGGGAAGCAGGTTGTTTACCACGACAGTAGAAGTTATTTTTTTCTGAAGATATGGGTAAACAACGCGATTTAACAGCCTCTGAACATGGGATATACATACACTGAGTGGCCAGGTTATTATGACCACCCCATCAGTACTTCGTTGGGCCACCTTTTGCCTTCAATACTGCGGCGATTCTTCGTGGCATTGACTCCACGAGATGTTGAAAGGTGATGCGAGGAATCTGACACCATGCCTGATGAATAGCACTGTACAGTTCTGTGAGATTTGATGGTTGTGGAACCAGGTGCCTGATGGCTCTTTTAACTTCGTCCCACAAATGCTCAATTAGATTGAGATCTGGTGATTGTGGGGGCTGCCTAAGCAAGGTAAAGCCTCCCTCATGTTCTTGAAACCACTCCTGCACAATATGAACACCATGGCATGGCGCATTGTCTTGTTGGAAGAAGCCATCTCCATTGGGATACGCCATCAACATGATAGGATGAATCTGATCAGCGATGATACTTAGGTATGTTGTGCTATTCAGACGTTGTTCCACATGAATTAAAGGGCCCAAATCATGCCAGGAAAACATGCCCCAAACCATAACACTGCCCCACCAGCTTACAGGGTTGTACTCATGCATGTGCAGTGCATGCTTTCATGCCGTTTCTGCCAAATTCTTACTCTGCCATCTGCATGATGCAACTGGAAACGTGATTCATCGGACCACATGACTGTTTTTCAATGCTCGACTGTCCAATACTTGTGTTCCTGTGCGAATTGGAGACGTTTTACCTTGGTAACTGCAGACAGCAAAGGTGTTCGAACAGGCCTTCAGCTTCCATATCCCATACAATGCAGTGTACGGCTAATTTGCCTACAAACAGGTGGTCATAATGTGGCCACTCACGTTCAAATATATCCCACGTTCAAAGGCTGTTAAATCGTGTTGTTTACCTATATCTTCAGGAAAAAAAAAGCATTTCTACTGTGGCAAACAACCTGCTTCCCTATTTATAATGGTCTGGCCCTCTAGCAACTTCAGCGCGAAATTATAGCTAATTTGCCTAACACATCAGGTGGTCATAATAATCTGGCCACTCAGTGTATTGCTTGAAATGGGGAGCCTCAAAAGTTAAAATACATCCCAGTATAAAACTATAATAATTAAAAGAGTATGATATAGTACTGAGAATTTGGCGTATGATGTGACATTTGAAATCAGCACAGAAAAGTGGGATAATACTATTGGAGCAACTAATTTATCAGATGAAAATATATTATGAAATTGAATTGTGTCCCTTAAGAAGATAGGTTGAAGTCCTAATCTCTGGCACCAATGAATGTGATCTTATTTGGAAATAGTGTTTTTGAAGATCTAATCAAATTAAGGGTCAGTGTGACCTAATCTGATGATTAGTGTCTTTATAGAGAGAGATTTGGACACAGAGACACACAGGGAAGAATGCCATGTGACAAGAGAGATTGGAATGAGGCAGCTGCTGTCAAGGAAGACAAAAATAGCACCTCATTTTAATTTGAACTTTTAAGTGAGAAGAAAGTTTCCCATAATCGTTAATCTACTCATGTAAATTATATTTTTAAAAAATTTTAGTCAGTTAATTAATTTGAATCTTAAAATTCCTACCCTTAGTATTCCCAAGAATTCCTTGTGTAATATAGATAGATATCAACTAATTCTTGGTTTGCCTCTCACTGGGAATTCTCTCTTCACATCTGATGCTTCTGAGGGCTCCCTCACCCATTCCCATGGCTTCGACCACCATCTTTATGGTTCCTCAGTCCACATGCTCTAGAAATCAATCTGCTCCCATGCCACCCCACCCCCAAACAGCTTGGAACAGTGTTCTGCACACTGGGTGATATATACTGAAATATAGGCATAAAAGGACTGTTTTTTTAAGGATTAGGCTACTTTTAGAACTATTTTAAAGATTAGTTATGAATAATTAGAAAATAATTCTATAGCATTAATTCATAAAAATAAGCAAATGGATAAAAAATATTCTAGTTAACTGCCAAAGTGCTTGAATAAATGAGTACAAAAATGAATTTAAAAAATTCTTTATTTAAAAATCTCTAAATGCAGCATTCTATAAAAATTGTTTCTATTTACATACTCTTTATTAATCCTATTGGTATGAATTCAATTTTAAATGCAATTTTGTAAAGCTTCCAGGATTTCTTCGGAAAGTCAACATTTAAAAATATTTTTTACAGAAACTTAAAAAAAAAAAAAAGGACCCTGGGAAATCACTTACTGTCACAGGAAGCAGGGTTAATAGAGAGTATTGACTGTTTCTCAGAGCCTATGTAAATGGAAAAGTTCACATGCAACAACTGTGTCCCCTAAGAAGGGAGACACAGTTTGTTTTTTCAGTCTTTGCAGTTTTCAGACCAAATGTGACAGTGCCAGACTCTTTACACTGTTACCTAAACCAAGGTATTCCATTTGGTTAATATAAAAAAGACACCATTTCTGAAATCATGATCTTTTCATGAAATCAAAGCAGAAAAACTGTTCAGGATAAGCAGATCCTTCAAGTTGGCACATTATGAAAACTCTTTAGAATCTGCTGTGACTCTATAACCAATCAGGGACTCTTTAACACCTTCATCCACAGGCAGATCCACTAGCACATGGGGCTTATCGTAACCAAAGGAGGTAGTAGTGTTTCTCAGCGTTATGGGCTCTGGTTCTTCTGTCTTCATTCCACTTTTGTTACTTGGAGGAGATTCTGAGTCAGATAAGATGATGCCCGATTCCACAAGGCCACTATCAGAACCATTTCTGGAGTGATAACAGTTTAAAGCAACGATGCAGGGTTCAGACTGGTTACTGCCTGAATGGACAGAATCCCCTCTCCTTACGAGGGTCAAAGGGCTACCAGGGGCCATGTCAGGAGTATTTTCTTCTGTGGTCCCTACTTGTGTTCCACTAGAAAGATCTCCGTGTTCTACTTTTCCTGGATGGTCCTCAGTCTGCATACTGGAAATTACTGCTGAAGACAACTGCTCTTCCCAGATCACTTTCTCATTTTCAGGGACAATTGGTTCATAGATGATGGGTGATATATATTTTGATTCAGCTTTTGCCTCTGAAGAGGCATTTTTTACCACAGATACCTAAGGGAAGAAAATTCAATGAATAAAAATAACATATTATTAAACTTAAAGAGGTACCTCAAAAAAATGGTCTAAGGCTAATGGACAATTAAATATACCACTAAACAGCATATTTTGAACAGTAAAATAAAAGCTAGTGGTAGCACTGTCTTTATTTTTAATGAAAATATACTATGTTAAGATTAGAAACAATTTTTAAAAGTTAGTATCTCACCAATATATGCTGTATTTTGTGCATTACTTTTCATACATATGAATGTTAAATTTGTAATGGGAGTCCAGCTACTTTATAAAATGTTTTTACCATTTTCCTTCATAATTATAATTTTCATTGGCTCATATAAGTTCTTTATATGCCAATGATTAAATAATTTCTCTAATAGATGTTAGCAGTGTTAACAATTTTTACTGTTGATGGAATATGTTGAAATAAATATTCTTACCTGTCTTTTTACTTTAGAAATAAAAAAATGGAATGACCAAGTTCAAGGGAGGGGCATGTTTATGGAACTACGACACTTAGTACTCATTGTACGCTTATCTTCCCACCAGGGCTATATGACCAGTTTTACTACAGCTACTCCCGGATATTCAAGTTTATTTTTTCGTCTCTGGTGGGTATAAAATGGCATACTGTGAGATTGCTTTGTGCTTAATTAATAGTAAGGAGGAGTGCTATAATATGTGAATTGTCTACTATTTGTTCATTGTTCTTTTTTTTTTGTTGTTCTTTTTTTGTTCATTGTTCTTATCCACTTTACTTAAATGTAATGTATTCATAACAAATTTAAATGGGCCCTTTGCATATCACAGATGTTATTCCTATCATATGTGATTCAAAAAGCTGTAATTATTACCCTTTAAATGTTTTTATCATCATACAAAGAATTTTAAATGTTAGACATTAAAATGTCAAACTTCTAGTTTAGTCTCACTTTTGGCCATCTTTCCTTCTGCACTCCAACCACAGTGAAGTGTTTCTGTATTTTCCTATTTTCAAAAGCCATGGTTTCTCTTGATGCTGGACCTTAGCACATATGGTCCCTTAGTACTTGGAAAAACTCAAATCTGTCCCTCAGGACTGCTCAGGCTTCACTGCCTCTAAACAAAGTCCTCTTTGGCACGTATATAAACCTCTACTTTTAAACCTGTCACACAGTACACCCACTGAATACTTATCTTTTTCTCCCATTAGACTTTAAGCTCCTTAACAGATTTGTCTAACTGTACTTTTGCCACATGTATAAAAAAGGCACCTGGTGTGTAGTGAAAAATATGTCGTTTTGGATGTGTGGTAGATCTGAGTGATTTATGGTAGGTGACATGCTGCTGAACATCATTCTACTTTTTAAAAAGTTTCAAGTATTAAAAAGGTTCAAATCAGCACTTTAGTGTATATAATTAAAGAAGTATGTTTAAATAGATTACCAAGGACTTGGGTAACATGATGCTTTCTCTCTTAAATGGATTTATCTTCTTAAAGTTCCAACATACAACTACCAGGATAAGTACTAGAAAGAGTAGGAGAGCAGCAACAACTGGAATCCAAACAGAATCTGAAAGAAAGAAAAATCACAAATTAGAATTAGGATGGAACACTGGTATAATCAAATAGTTATAAAGTCTCTGAACTATTCTTTTTTAAAATATGTTTTTATTGATTTGAGAGAGAGAGGAAGAGTGAGAGAAACATCTATGTGAAAAAGAAGCAAAGATCGACTGCCTTTTGCAAGCCCCCTATGGGGATTGAGTGCATAACCCTGGGCATGGGCCCTGACCAGGAATCAAACCAGCAACCTCTAGGGCAGCAGTTCTCAACCTGGGGGTCGAATGACCCTTTCACAGAGGTCACCTAAGACCATCAGAAAATACATATATAATTACATATTGTTTTTGTGATTAATCATTATGCTTTAATTATGCTCAATTTGTAACAATGAAATTGGGGTCACCACAACATGAAGAACTGTATTAAAGGGTCACGGCATTAGGAAGGTTGAGAACCACTGCTCTAGGGGCATGGGACAATACCCAAATAACTGACCCACACTGGCTAGGGCTGAACTATTATTTATATAGATTATATCAGGTAATACGATCAGGGTGTTAAGAAACACTGCCACCAAAGTCAGGAGAGATGAGTAAAAAATTATGTCCTTGTCCTAGATAGCAACATACTCTTCCCAGCTCTACAATTCTTAACTTTCTGTGACTATCCTGTTATGACATAATGTGGCTAAAATAGCTTTTCCCTAACCATTTCCTTACAGCACCAAATATAAGAGGTATACAGAGCTATGCTTTTCTCTCAATTAAAGAGGCAAAAGAAGAATTTTAAAAATATTTAAATAATACAGTTCCACTCCATAGAATTTTGTTACATTTTATATTTATTTCAAGATTGCAAATACTTATAAAGATACATAGACACGTGCACGTGCATATGCGCACACACAAACACACAAAGCTGCAAAGGAATAAAGTCTCCTTGACTTTTGTTTCAGAACATATACATCTATCATCACTGGTGTGATTTTTCTCTTATGCTGCTTTTTATTTTCACAATACAATCTTCAGTACTTTTCCCCACAGTCCTCTGTTCCTAATTAACAGTACTTTACATATCGTGGTGGAATTTGGCTTCTTTCAAGGGCATTTCATTACCTTTAATTTCTATTCCAAAGTTACTTCTTTGGAATAGTAATTCTGGAAGTTACTACAAAATGAATGCTTGTGTCATACCTGTTACACTGTGTCGAGCCAGCTCAGCCAAGGGTTCACAAGCCTGAGTGAGGGCGGTGAATGGATGAAGAAAAGACATACAAAGAGAATAAGCTGGGTCTAGGTGGATCTTCCTGTGCCTGGCTGAGGCCACAGAGAGAGAGAGCCAGAGGCAAGCTGAGCCTTTATTTTATAGCCAGAAGTAAACAAGGTAGTGGTCACCATAGTTACAATGTAATTGTAAGTTTCACTTGTTTTGGCAGCACTTGCTATATCTCCTCAGCCCATTAGCTACCCAGATAAGATCTAGGGAGCGTCATAAGGTCAAGCCTAATTATGCTAAGAGGACTGTGTCCTCTAAGCTAGTACTTGTTTGTGGCTTTGCCAACAGGTCAGTCCGAGGCTTAACTCTATAGCCATGTCCTTATGTCTCGCCCTTTTTTTAAATTTTTAAGCTACTATAATGAAAGTAAAACTTAAGCATCAAGAACAAAACTCTGGCTATTAAAACAATAAAAAAACAATGCCAATGCAAAACCCAAACTACATGTTAACATTTAAAAACTTAAACATAAAGCTCTGGCTATTAATAAAACAATGCCAATGTGTTAACATTTTTAAAACTCGTAAGAATAACAAAACAATACCAATGCAAAACAGCAATAAGTGAGAAATCAAACTACAGTAGCATTTTTCTACTAAATGAAAGTTTCTTTTGCTGATTTACTCAGAGTCCTTGGACTTGGCTGCTCAAGACTTTGCAGAAGACTGGCAGCTAACCAAGGCTAGCATAGCCAGAAACATGATTGAGGGAGTAGCTTCCACATCTTGTTTTTCTACCATCTGCTGGGCCTCAGTTGTTAACTTCTTCAGCTGACCCATGTTGGCACTTCAGTCCCTTGCGTAGCCTTTGTCATCTTCCTTTTCCATATTGCTGTCATCGGGGCAACTCTCAGTCTTTTGAGCGAAGGGACAAGGAGCTTCTCTGGGTCCATTGTGGTGACGCACGTAATGCTCTGGCACCAAAATTGGCTGCGCTGCTCCTTCTTCCTTCATGTTTTCTGCACGTGCTTCACTGGAGCATCCTTTCACTTGACAACTGTAGTTCCTCTGAACTCAGGCCCCGTGTTGGACACCACATGTGCTGAACCAGCTCAGCTAAGGGTTCACAAGCCTGAGTGAGGGCGGCGAATGGATGAAGAAAAGACAGACAAAAAGAATAAGCTGGGTCTAGATGGATCTTTCTGTGCCTGGCTGAGGCCATAGAGAGAGATCCAGAGGCAAGCTGAGCCTTTATTTTATAGCCAGAGGTAAACAAGGTAGTGGTCACCACAGTTATAATGTTCTTGTGAGTTTCACTTGTTTTGGCAGCACTTGCTACATCTCCCTCAGCCCATTAGCTACCCAGATAAAGATCTAGGGAGCATCATAAGGTCAAGCCTAATTATGCCAAGAGGCCTGTGCCCTCTAAGCTGGGACTTGTTTGTGGCTTTGCCAACAGGTCAGTCCAAGGCTTAATCCTATAGCAGAGCCCTACATTACAGGATGTGAAAACAAATTATTACAATAGTAAAAGGTAAAATGAACTACATAATGGAACCAGCACTGGGCTCAGAAGCACTGGACAGGCAAGCAGGGAAGCTGCTATGAGCCACAGTGGTGGCACAGTGTGGCCACCATATCAGCACAGTTTATAATTTAGGCATCTTTTTTGTGTTTGTTTTTTTAAGTAAATCTAGGTTATTTGCATTCTTTTCTCTTTTTATTTTCCTCATTGGTCCGGAAAAGATGATAAAATAAAAATAATTATTTTAAAATGTTAATAATCCATTAAGGCAATCTACATTTATTTTTTAATATTAATTCCCAGTGCTTGTGCAGTTCACATGTCAGAAAATTTTAATCAATTAACATTCCTGCTATTCAGTTTTTAAACTTACTGTCCTCATAAAGAACATACATGAATACATATCTTGAAAATATATCATCTTGCTGTATTGAATAAACTGATTTATATTATTATGCATGATCCTGAAATGCAGACATTTATCAACAGTTTTATGTGTTTTTATATTTTTCTTCCTGCATGAAAAGGTTTTCATATGGCGTCCCAACCTGATTGTTTCGTATCTAGTAAGGCCTGAGATGTGGCCTTATTTGCAATTTTGAACTTCCCTGAGGAATGGAACTATTTTTAAAAGAGCAGTGATTACTGAAATTGCAAATGTCCTTTTTTCACATTACCCTATGTTATCACTCTTTATATTTAGGGAAAAAATGGTAAGAACTTACCTTTTATGCTCTTACTGTCAGAAATGGTAATACAAAGTTCTTTGGACATTTCAGTTTTAAAGGATCTTAAATTTGAGATTCCTTCTGCTGAAATACAGTACTCAGAATTCAGTGAGGACACTGGAATACTAAAGTTGCACTGAGTCTCATCACAATCATCTTCATTCTCTCCAAAAATTCTATCTATCATCTATATGAGAAAACAAAACACAATGAAAATTCATGGCTCCTTTTAATCTGCCAAAAAAAACCCCCAAAAAACAACAAAAACAATCATCATATTTACATTGGCCATACACCTGGAGAAAGCATATATGTGATGAATGTTGTACATGTCTGAAAAGACTGTTCATATCAAGTACTAAGTCAGTTTGTTACTTCAACAGAGCATGATGTAGCCATCAAAATTTTCTTTATAGGGATTAGGAATTTAAAACCACAAATAGCAGGAATGTTTTATTAGTCCTATTTCTGTAATGCTAGAAACTTAGCTGGTGAGAGATAAAAGCATTTTCTAGGAGAATAAGAGAGATATTATGCAAAGGCTGTAGAATCTCTTGGTAGTAATATGTAGAAGGGACTGAAGCAATCTCTGGAAATTTATAATTCACTCCACCAGTCGAAGTGCGTGGATCACTGCGCTAAGGCCTGAAAACTCAAGGGCAGGAGAGTGGTGCTGACCTCAAAGAAATTACTGTAGGGAGTAGAAGAGAGGTAAGAATTAAATGTAAGAAATGTAATGAGTATTGCAAGAGGACATGTATAAGGAACTAGGAATAACTAGACCATAAAAAAAGAAATAGTCTACTGTATCAGAAAATAATTCAAAGGCAAGATGATATGCCAGTTGAATACTGAAGAATAAGTAGAAATTTGCCAAAGGAGAAAGATGAAGAACATTCTATGAAAGAGCATATTACTTACAGGAATTAAGAACAGCAAGCAGTTCACCAAAGCATGAATGAAAATAAGGTTGGAAGGAATGGGGAGACTGGGTGCTGGAAAGGATATAAGAGGCCAATTCTCGAAGGCCTTGTAGGCCATGCAGGAAAGAGAATTTAGATATTATTTTGTAGCTGATGGGGATTTGTTAAAGAGTTTTAAGCAGTGAAGTAATATGGTTCTAGAAACAACTCTGCTAGCAACCGAAATGATGTTTTAAAATCTAAATCACATGTCACTCTTCTGTTTAAATTTTTCCAGATGTGCAATATCTCACTTAGAAAAAAAAATCAAATTCCTCTACTGCCCTAAGAGATGTGGCCCCAGGGACCTCTCTAACCTCATCTGTTTCCATACTCTGCGGCCTTGCCGCTCCCTTCATGTGCCTGGTGTCCTTTGGCCACACTCTGCCTGAAACACTCCCCTATCATGATCCATGGAGCTCACTCCTCCTCTCCTCCAGCCCTGGCTGTAGTAACATCTCGTCCAGCAGGTGAGGTCTGCTCTGACCACCCGTACCCCACTGCCCAACCCTCTTCCCTGCTCTTTCTCCATAGTACTTATCAGTTGAGTTTTGTTTGTACTGTTCATTGCTTCCTCCTGGTGCCTAGAAGGCACAGAGCACACATGCTTGACAAATATCTATATACTAGAGGCTCAGGGCACAAAAATTCGTGGGAGAGAGTCCCTCAGCCTGGCTTGCCCCCTCTCACAGTCCAGGAGCTCTCAGAGGATGCCCTACTGACTCCTGGGGAGCGGGCCTAGGCTCAATCTGTCCTCCCTCTGCGGGAGGCAGCCGGCTGATCAGGGGAAGGTACTCCCCCATCACCCTGCAGCTGCTGCCACTGCTGGCTACCTTGGCTGCGAGGCCTGAGCCCTGGGCTGTGCAGCCGCCGGTGCTCACAGCTCACTGAGCCCCGTGCTTCGCATCCGCTGGGCCTCACGGGTCACTGAGGACCCCCCACCCGTATACTGGGCCCCCATCAGAGCAGGCAAGCCGACCCCTACCCGTGTATCAGGCCTCTATCCTATACAATAAAATGGTAATATACAAATTGACCCTAAAGGCGGACGACCAGAATGAGCTCTGGACCAGTCACTTTGAGGTGCACTGACTACCTCTCAGTTTCTTCCTCGGCTGGCGGAGCTCCAATTGCCTGATAGAGAACGGGGAATTGGGGGTGGGTGGCGGGGGATGTGGGCGGCGCCATGCCAAGGCCACCTCCCCTCCCCCCGCCAGTCGCCCCACACACAGAGGGCAACCCGTGACAGAGGTGGGGCCGTCAAGTCCCTTCTTCCAACCATCAGGCACTGAATACCCGATGGCAAAACGGGAACAGGGGGTGGGTGGCGGCGGGGGGCAGGGCCGGCTGCGGGCAGCCGGGGAAGATGACCCTGATCGCAGGCCAGGCCTAGGGACCGTACCCGGGCACAAATTTCGTGCAGCAGACCTCTAGTTGTTAAATAAAGGAATGGTAGCACTGTGGCAAATGGATGGAATAGAATAATTCGTGATCTGCATACCAGTGCTAGAATGTAATTATATGCCCACAGTATTACTGTTAGCTTTTTCTATCATAAACAATGACTCCAATTACAGCTTTGTGTAATTTTACATTACTCCCAATGAGGAAGAAAAGCATATATTTATTCACATCTTACCAGTGAAGGAATGAAAATATACAGGTTAATATCCTAGATTAGGGCTATTCTGTTATATAAGACAAAGAAAAAACTTAGATGTGTTCACCTGGCCAGTGCTAGTGATTAACTATGCTACCAATTCCACTCAATAACATTTATATATGTATTTCATTTTTTTTACCCAAACCTAGGATTGGTAAGTCTTGGCTGAATATTCATAAGCATTTTTTGTTGTTGTTAATCCTCATCTCAGGATATTTTTTCCTATTGATTTTTAGAGAAAGAGTGGAAGGGAGGGGGAGAGACACAGAGAGAGAAACATTGATGTGAGAGGGACACATCGATTAGCTGCCTCCCACACCCACCGTGACTGGGGCCAGGGACCGAGGCTGCAACCCAGATACATGCCCTTGACTAGAATTAAGCCCGAGACCATTTAGTCCATGGGCTGATGCTCTAACCCAGTGATGGCGAACCTTTTGAACTTGGCGTGTCAGCATTTTGAAAAACCCTAACTTAACTCTGGTGCCGTGTCACATATAGAAATCTTTTGATATTTGCAACCATAGTAAAACAAAGACTTACATTTTTGATATTTAATTTATATATTTAAATGCCATTTAACAAAGAAAAATCAACCAAAAAAATGAGTTAGCATGTCACCTCTGACATGCGTGTCATAGGTTCGCCATCACTGCTCTAACCTCTGAGCCAAACTGGCTAGGGCAAGTGTTCTACTTTCTTACATGACTCAGGAAAAAACTTGGTGACAAAATTTTCCATTTTGAAAAAGATGAAATAGAAACACATACCAGACTTCCATTTATTCTCTCATGCACCTTGTACATGAATGTGTAACAAGTTTCGTCTCCATAAATGGTTCCTAGCACTGTTCCATTTACCATAATTAAAGGATGAAATATATTAATAATGATTTGGTCTTCCTTGTGACTGATATGCAGATTTGGTGGTCCAACTTTCCCTGGGTGGGAGGAAGGCAAAAAAGAAGTAGAATTAGTTGGCCCTGGAACTTTATAGTACACTAGAGGCCTGGTGCATGAATTCGTGCAAGGTGGGGTCCTTCTGGGTGGCCTGCAGGGATCAGGCTGAAACCCACAGTCAAATGCCACCTGCACCTCCTACCTGCTGCTCCCAATCATCCCAGCCCCATTGTGTCTGCTGCGGGCTTGTGCCTAATCAGTCCAGATCAGAAGAGGCTCGTGCTGCCACAGCAGCGCTCCCCAGTCATGAGTCCTGCATCTGGCACCCTCCCAAGGGGTGGGTGGCCTGTGGGATAGGGCTAAAACCAGCTTACATCCCCCAAGGGGTTCTGGATTGTGAGGTCACAGGGCAGGCTGAAGGACCCCACCAGTGCACAATCGAGCCTGGTAGGGACCATGGGAGGACTCCAGGGCATGTCTGGCCCATCTCACTCAGTCCCAATCAGCTGGACCCCAACAGCAAGCTAACCTACCAGTTGGAGCATCCGCCCCCTGGTGGTCAATGCAAGTCATAGCGAGTGGTTGAGCAGCCTTAGCATATCATTAGCATATTATGCTTTGATTGGTTGTTTGGTTATTCTGCCGTTTGGTCTTTTTGAATATTACCCTATTATTACATAGGATTGTATAAAATTACCAAAATCAAACAACCTACTCTTTTTGCTGTTCTAAAGCAGAGCCACATTTAAACCATTCCAAAAAGATCTAGAAGATTTGAAGTGTACTTAATAAAGAAATGTTTATAATATATCTTCTCAGTCAAGAAGTATTCTTATCTAATCTAAACTCCTCTTTAACACATTGTTTGCGGGTAGTTTTTATCGCACACTAACAGGTGGCGTGGGCCATTTTTGTTAATTTTTTGCGCAAATGGCAACGTTCAGTAAAATTACGATAACTTTAGTTTACGTATTTATACGTTACCCGCATTCTACCGCTAGTCTATAAAAAACGTATTAATACGTGTCCCGCGCTCTACTACACTGGTAGAACGTATAAATACGTAAAACGTGTAAACACGTTTCCTGCATACAATGTGTTACCAGTTTAAATTCATTTCAAGTCCTAAAGAAAAATAGGTGGTCATGAATCCCGGTAAAAAAACTTTGATATAATAGAAGTTATTTTTTCTTTACCTTTGGTTCTGTAGACAAAAAACAAAAAACAAAAAACACACAACTGTTTTCACCTGGCCAGTACGGCTCAGTGGTTGAGTGTTGACCCATGAACCTGGAGGTCACTGTTCAATTCCTGGTCAGGGCACATGCTTAGGTTTCAGGCTCAATCCCCAGTAGGGAGGTGTGCAGGAGGCAGCCAATCAATGATTCTCTCTCATCATTGATGTTTCTATCTCTCTCTCTCCCTGTCCCTTCCTCTCTCTGAAATCAATAAAAACATATTTTTAAAAATGGTTTTCTAAAAACATGATTTAGAAAAGATGTTTTAGTTATCTTTAAACCTTTGCAGTAACTCTTTATATTTCCACACTATGGATATCTGGCATGAAAGCTCTATAAAAGTCTGCTGAATATATTCAGTTTTTACTGTGAAAATCAGAACTAGATATTCATTCATTCCAGAAATATTTATGATGTATCTTTGATGTTGGGGACTTTGTTGGTGAACCATTTAACTATTTTTCACATATTTATTATATACCTACTATGTGCCAGGCAGGTCTGTTTTTACTCACCCATGTATCCTCGGGGCCTACCATACTTTCTGGCATAAAGTATGCCTTTGATAAGTCTTTCTGGGAAAAATCTGACATACAGAGGGTATAGTTGTTGATGACAAAGGCATCATAATCTCTGGGGAATAAAACTATTTCAAGGACAGGTAGAGAATGGGTGTGGAGGAGAACAAGTAAGCACAATCCAGAATGTGGGAACAGAAGGAGGTGGTGGTTGAGGTAATGAAGCATGAAGCTGAACAGGAAGGAAGTAAAGCTGGAAGGCAAGGCACTGAAGGACTGGAAGCCTAGGGAGCAGTCAAGTGACTAAAGATTTCTTTTAACCAGAAGTGAGGGTATAAGACAGCCGTGGGCAAACTACGGCCCGTTTGAAATGAATAAAACTAAAAAAAAAAAAAAGACCGTACCCTTTTATGTAATGATGTTTACTTTGAATTTATATTAGTTCACACAAACACTCCATCCATGCTTTTGTTCCGGCCCTCCAGTCCAGTTTAAGAACCCATTGTGGCCCTCGAGTCAAAAAGTTTGCCCACCCCTGGTATAAGAGCTACAAGGGAGGACATTAGTCAGAAAAGGAACTGGCATTGAAGATTCTGGAGCTTAATGTGATAGTAAAGATCAGGTAAACTATGGCAACAGGATGCTGGAAGCATGAAGAGCTGAAAATCATTGGGGTTAAAGAGATTACAGAATTCTGGTATTTTTTAAAGTATGAAGTTGGTATTATAATTCCCACAACCTTGAGGACTTAAGGTAGGCAAGTAAGATAAAGAAGCTGCCAAAGCTCTCAGTGAATGTAACTTATAAAGGAATGACCAAGACAGGGAGGGGCAGGGCAGTGCAGAGTCTAGTTGGACAGCACTAATCCACAGTTATTTATTAAAATATATTTTATTGATTTTTCACGGAGAGGAAGGGAGAGGGATAGAGAGTTAGAAACATCGATGAGAGAGAAACATCGATCAGCTGCCTCCTGCACACCCCCTACTGGGGATGTGCCCGAAACCAAGGTACATGCCCTTGACCGGAATCGAACCTGGGACCCTTCAGTCCGCAGGCCGACGCTCTATTCACTGAGCCAAACCGGTTAGGGCTAAACTATTATATTTCTATTCTACTTAAAAAGGTGGATTAGTAGCCCTAACTGGTTTGGCTCAGTGGATTGAGTGTCGGCCTGCGGACTGAAGGGTCCCGGGTTCGATTCCGGCCGGGGGCATGTGCCTTGGTTGCGGGCACATCCCCAGTAGTAGGTGTGCAGGAGGCAACTGATCAATGTTTCTTTCTCATCGATGTTTCTAACTCTCTATCCCTCTCCCTCCCTCTCTGTAAAAAAAATAAATCAATAAAATATATTAAAGAAGAAATATAATAGTTTATTAGGGGCAAAGTGATGGGCACTTCAGCCCTATTTTATGGGACTTGGGAGAAGAGGAAGACACGAATTCCCTAAATTGCTCCAAATGTTTCTTGGGCATTGTAATAGTTTTTAACAACTGCTAATAAAAGCAAATATATATATAGAAGACACGTGTAAACTCTCAAATTTAAAATTTAGATATGTATACGTTCTACTCACCCTGTTGGCACAAAATAAATTCTTCTGACACTGCATAGGCTGATTCTTCTTGTCCAAGCCTCGCTTTAACTCTGGCCCAGAGAGAAACGTCTGGAAGCTTAATCATGGAAAAGATGTTACAGTGATGATGAGAGGTATTGCAGGCATCAAGCCATTCATCCTCCCTAAAATGAAGAGGAATAAAGAAACACAAAGGTAACTTTTATTAGTATATAAACCTGAACCATCTCTGGCTTTGCTTTGCTTTTCATTCACAGCATGGAGCTGGTAGAAAGAGCTAAATAAGAATACGATAGCCCTGGCCGGTGTGGCTCAGTTTGTTGGGAATTATTCTGTGCACCAACAGGTTGCTGGTTCAATTCCCCGTCAGGGCACATGCCAGGGTTGCAGGCTTGATTCCCAATAGGAGGTGTACAGGAGGCAGCCAACTGATGTTATGCTGTCACATCGATGTTTCTCTCTTCTCCCTTCCTCTCTCTCTAAAAAAATCAATAAACTATTCTTTAAAAAAAAGAAAAAAGAATAGGATGAAGAATCTAGACAAAGTAGGAAGGAAGCCCTTGCTCTTTGGTCAAAAGTACTATAATTTACAATAAAGAGGCTCAATTCAAATTACAAGATCTGTACAAATCATATTCCACATGCAATTTAAAAAAAAATCTGCTCTTTAAACAACTCGTTTCCATTAACATAATCATTACTCACTTACAGAATCAACCCATTACAAAGACTCCTAACACTTGTAAAAAAGTTTTTTGAAATTTTTCTTTTACTGAACAATACAGGTACACTATAGGAAGTAAGATGACATTATTTTTAATAGAGAACTGAAAGCTTTATTTATTTATCGTGCCTTAAAATATGGGAAGTCAGCCTAGCTGGACTGGCTCAGTTGGCTGAGTTTTGTCCTATACCAGTGATGGCGAACCTATGACACGCGTGTCATTTTTTTTGGTTGACTTTTCTTTGTTAAATGGCATTTAAATATACAAAATAAATATCAAAAATATAAATCTTTTGTTTTACTATAGTTGCAAATATCAAAAAATTTCTATACATGACACGGCACCAGAGTTAAGTTAGGGTTTTTCAAAATGCTGACACGCCGAGTTCAAAAGGTTCGCCATCACTGTCCTATACACCAAAAGGTTGCCTGTTCAATTTGAGATCAGGGCACATAACCTGAGTTCGATCCCCAGTCAGGGCACATGCAAAAGGCATCTGATCAATGTTTCTCTCTCACATTGATGTTTCTTCCCTGCCCCTTCCTCTCTCTAAGCATGTCCTCAGGTGAGGATTTAAAAAATAAATTAAGCCCAGCTGGTGTGGCTCAGTGGTTGGGTGTCAACCTATGAACCAGGAGATCATGGTTTGATTCCTAGTCAGGGCGCATGCCGGGTTGTGGGTTCAACCCCCCACTGGGGGCGTGCAGGAGGCAGGCGATCAATGAGTCTCTCTCATCTTTGATGTTTCTATCTCTTTCCCTCTCCCTTCCTCTCTGAAATTAATAAAAATATATTTAAGAAAAATAACAACATAAATAAATAAAAAATTTTTGAAAAGGTAAAAAGACATCTGGGAAGTTAGTGATACTTGTCTACTTCAATTCTGACAGAAGGACTAAGAGGTAGGAAGTTTTCTGATAAGAACTAATTTGCATCGTTGGCTCTCTGGAATCTACAAGCAGTTCAGGAAGTTTTGCCACAACAGAAGGAAGGATAATGGAAGAGAACACAGTTATGAAATATGCAAGGACATGGACAAAACAGAGTAAAAAGGATAAAAGAGTAACACTCACCCATAGACTTTTACCTGTACGGTAAAAACAGGCTTCTGCGCCATGATTGGGTAATTCCAAAATAGGACAGTATCGAAGTTATAGGCCTTAATTGTAAGATTGGTTGGTATAGGCACTGTAAGAGATTTATAAAGTAAAATGGACAAGAGGAAGAAGTTAATTAACATTATAAAAGCTTGCCCTAACCAGTTTGGCTCAGTGGATAGAGTGCCGGCCTGCGGACTGAAGGGTCCCGGATTCGATTCTGGTCAAGGGCATGTACCTTGGTTGCGGGCACATCCCCAGTACGGGGTGTGCAGGAGGCAACTGATAGATGTTTCTCTCTCATCAATGTTTCTAACTCTATCCCTCTCCCTTCCTCTCCGTAAAAAATCAATAAAATATATATTTTTTAAATCTTATAATAAGAAGCCATGTTAACCAAATATAAAAATATATTTTTAAAAAGCATAATCCATAAGAATAAAATTATTTAAATTAGGAGATTTCTAAAAATAATTTTATTGTCAAATGTATAGGAAAGTTCTGATTCATTTTAAATTACTGAAGCAACATCGTGATATAAGGGAAACACAAATATAACAGAAGCAATAAATTCCTATGTTTTAGGAGTTTTTTAAATAAATGCACTGCCTGTTGTAATAATAATCCTCAATTCATTTAATAGTGGAATTTTCTATATATACTACAGATTGTATTCAATGTCTAGAGAAGAACTGGCTACAACAGAGATGGTGAATTTCACTCTCAAATACCACCACCCCGGTTCTCAACTCTACACCCAGCAGTATGACACATCTTTAGTACCTTTCCTGTAGCACAAGAGCAGGTGCCATTGACCATTCCAATCTCATCAACAGTTTGCTCTCTGTAGTGTGCAAAGTTCTTTACAAAAGAAACCCAATATTTCTTCTGGCCTTTGCTGTTTTAAATCATTTCATAAAACTTTTGTTGATGTGAGCCACATGACGTCACTTTAACATCTTCTCATCAGACATAACCAAAACTGCAATCTAGTTATTAAAAGTAGTCATTTCTCCCCTGGTCAATATAAAAGGTTGGCGTCCACCATCCCTTGGAAAATTAAACACACACCACACACACATACACCCTCCTCCCTTCTTTCCCCTTTGTCACCCTTCTGTCTCCCCTCCCTTCTTTCTCTTCGTTATGAATAAACATGAAGGTATTAAATACAATTAGCAATATAATCCCAAATGGAAAATTCTATTAAACATGATTTACTCATACAATTAAAAAATAAATGAATGGCAAAGTGGCCAAGGTTCAGTGGCTTCCTAACATAACTTATCATCTTCTTCAAAAATTCTGAGAGCTACAAGAATACTTTTTAAAGCACCTCAGATAATAATGATGATCACTCAGGTTTATATCAAGCAGACTACTCTAATAAAAAGAATATTCCTTGGGTTGGACATTAAGAATGCTGGGTTTGCCCGGCTGGCAGGCTCAGTGATTGATCGGTTAGATTCCTGGTCAGGGTACATGCCCGGGATGCGGGCTCGATCCCTAGAAGAGGGTGTCCAGAAGACAGCCAATCAGTGATTCTCTCTCATCACTTATGTTTCTCTCTCTCTTTCCCTCTCCCTTCTCTCTGAAATCAATAGAAATATTTCAAAAGAAATCTGGGTTCTTTCCTGCTGTACTACTACCTAGTTATTTCAGATTTCCTCATTTGTCAAGTGAGGTGTTAATTTCACACACATAGGACATTTACTTTCTGTTGAAGGAAACACCTACTCTACAGCATATAGCAGGATAGACTGAGGCTTCCTTAATAGGGTTCCTTGACTTTCTGAAATAGCTTACAATCCAGGATTGAGGCAGAAATAAAAGGTACAATCCTGGGTTCAATTCAATGTGAACATCAAATAACAATCAACATATAAACATAATTTTGCAACCAGATAAGAAAGAGAGGTACCTGATCCTAAGAAAACTCATAATGAATCTGAACTTCCTTCAAAAGCCATTCTTAATTTTAGCATCTTTTGCCTCTCCAGAGGCGAAGAATTTTCAAACCATCAGGTCCTAGTTTCTTTTTGTTTAACAGTCTTTTCCTCTTGATTACTCTCTCTAGTTTTGCATTTACTAGAAGCAAGAAGGAACTACACGGCACCTTCAACACTTTGCTTGGAAACCTCCTTAGTTAGGTCATGCAGATCACTAGGCACCTTTCATAGTGTCGCCAAGCTTTAGGCTTTCTGCCACTACGTATCAAGGATCTGCCTTCCTGCAGTTTCCAATAATGGCAGGTTTTTCCCTTCCTTTCAAGCCCCTGCTAAAATACTACTCCCAATACGAATGATTTTTTAACTGTATATACTCAATTTAAAATTTCTGGGTTTGAAAAGAAAAGGCAGCCCTGACTGGTTTGGCTCAGTGGATAGAGCGTCGGCCTGAGGACTGAAGGGTCCCAGGTTTGATTCCGGTCGGGGGCATGTGCCTTGGTTGCGGGCACATCCCTGGGGGTGGGGAGTGCGGTAGGCAGCTGATCTATGTTTCTCTCTCATCGATGTTCCGGACTCTCTATCCCTCTTCCTTCCTCTCTGTAGAAAATCAATGGAATATTTTTAAAAAATTTTTAAAAAGGCATATAGAAGTCAATCTATATACTAGAATAGCAAATAAACTCCATTTATATTTAAGAGGTTACTGAATCATATAAAACCACAAAAAGCCCAGCTGGTGTGGCTCAGTTGTTTGAACACTGTCAAGGCTGCTAGATCAATTCCCAGTCAGGGTACATACCCGGGTTGCGGGCCTCATCCCCAGTATGGGGCCTGCAGGAGGCAGCTGATCAATGTTTTTCTCATATTGATGTTTCTACCTCTCTCTCCCTATCCCTTTCTCTCTCTCTAAAGATCAATAAAAACATTTAAAATAATAAAAACTAATTCAAAAACCCCCCACAGACATTTTTTTAATGTTAGTTTTTAATGTGAATCAAACTGTTTCCCATAATTTAAGTAAAATTTGAACATGGTTAGACTAGGACAAGGTCTTAAAATCATAGCTTTCAAAGTAATCAAAACAGGTGGCAGGAGGAAGAGGTTTCGATGGATTACAGCAGACAGAAATTACTAGTAGATTAAAGGAGAAACTGTTAAATATTTACACAAAAGGATATCACTTGTGGTTTTAATGCTACAAGAAGAGAAACCATGCGGTTATTAGATACCTGCCTTTGTCATCTGCTAAAATCACAGCAGGCATGAGTTTTCTCATTCAAACTCAGAATTTTGTAGCCTAAAGTTAAAATTGTTACATATCCTGATTGATATAATTAAGGCTTACAACAAACTTCAATTCATAATAAATTTATCTTATGTAAATAAGACATGTATATATATATAGCAAGAGAGTATAGCATAGCATAGAGGTTAAGGAAAGATCCTACCAGATCACATGAAATAAAATAATCTTACAGATTTCCCCATCTCTTCAAAATGCCCAAATAGACAGTTTCCATAACTGATGTTATTTTTGGATATGGATTCCGAGTTATTTAGTGCATATGTACACTCTACCCAGAGTAATCTAGATTATTTTACAGGAGTTCTTCCAAGAACTGAAGATTTAACCAAACCAAACACAGGAGAGAAGAATCAGATTTTCCTAACACTCAATTACAATGGGGGGGGGGGGGGGAGGGGAGTTTTCTGGTTACAGCCAAGTGTTTCCTTGTGATAAACTAGCAGAGACAGAATATGGAAAAAAGAGCAAGGGAGGGGATGGAAAATACTGATGAAGATCACATCAACAAGTCATTAAGTAGTGCCACTAGATCCGGGGTGGGCAACCCCTGGCATGCGTGCCAAACATGGCATGCCAGTAACTTTTGTTAGCACGCGAAACCCTCTCTTATAATCTTCCATTTACAATTTTTGTGAACACTTGAATGACTTAAATGTTAAATTACAAGGAACTTGCAAGACACTTGATGTTATGTTTGGTTACATAAAGGCTTTTGAAAAGAAACTGGAAGTCTTTAAGAGGGATATGGATGGTGAGAGATTTAGATATTTCCCAAATCTCAAGAGGCACATCAAAGACCTCCCAAAAGATGACAGTACAGACTGTCAAAGCCTTCAAAAGCTGTTTTTAAACATCATCGAGTCAACTATTGAGCAGTTCTTCTCAAGATTTGAGAAATTCAGAGAACTGGAAGAGACAGCAAAATTCATGAGGTTTCCAGACAGCATGAAACTGGAGGAAATAAGCTTACAAATGTTTTCATGGATAGACATGGCTGACTTTGAAATGCAGTTGATTGAATTTCAGAGTAGCTCAATTTGGAAGCAGAAATTTATTGACCTTAGAGTTGACTTGGAAAACATTGAAAAAAAGCGATTAGAGACAGGAGTACCAGAGAGAAGTGTCGAAAACAAACTATTGGGGACTTGGAATGCCATTCCAGAAATTTTTTTCTGTTTAAAAAACTTTGCAACAGTACTCTCCATGTTTTCATCTACATACGCTTGTGAATCTTTGTTCTCAGTGAAGAATTTTGTTAAGTCTCGTAATAGGAGTAGCCTGACGGATGAAAGTAGTACCTCGTGCATATCTCTGAAGGTCACGAAATATAAACCTGATGTAAAATCTCTGTCATCAGTGATGCAGCAGCAAAAGTCCCACTGATAATATCAAACGGAGTCATAAAGTTTTCTGTCGGACTATCAATGTACATGTATACATTAAAAAATAAATGTATTTTTCATCATCATATACTGTGTTTTTGTCGCTCAGATGAATTTTATTATTTCTTCAAGGTTCTTCACATACGTACACCTTAAGAGATATCAAGTAGGCATAACATGTTCTCAAAAAATTAGGGTTGGCACGCAGAAGAATTTTGAGTCAGAGATTTTGCTGGTTTTGGCACGCACTCACAAAAAGGTTGCTCACCCCTGCACTAGATGGACAATGGGGTTGTCACCAAAGACCAAAATACAGCAATACAGCGACCAGAACAGTTCTGGGGACTGTTCATTTCTGGGAAAGGTAGGGTGGAGGGGTAAGCAGGGAGCCACAGACATCTGATTTCCGCTGTATGGATGGTGACAGACAGAAGTAAGGCTAGCTGCTACCAGTGCTGCATCCCATAAATGCGAAAAGCACCTGTTGCCTCTACTCAAAGAGGAACAGCCACAGGGATTCTTCACTAATTTTAACAACAGCGGTAGCCAACCCGTGGTCCATGAGGTCCGAAAGGTTGGCGACCGCTGGTCTAGAAGATGTGTACATCTGTGCGGAGCAGAGCTCCATACTCTGTAGACACCATTCCACAATCTGCCTACCTACCTCTCTATGGGAAGGACAACTGAGCAGCAAAGAGAAGTGAAAATACAGGAGTCAGTAAGTTGTTTTTGTGGATCTGAAGTCACCTGACACCACCACTCAAAAACAAATGCTCCATGTTAAAGCATCCAGACCCTTTCCTAAATGAGCAACTCTCAGACAAAAGATCTAACACCCTCTCCACACTGAAGGTGCAGCGCCATGGGTATTTTCACAATCATTTCTTCTTACACTGCAAACTGAGAAATGATGAGAAATATGATGAAAAAAGTGAAAAATATCAACTCAAGACTTTTGCACTTTTTTAGAATATATTTTTTTCCCAATTTTCCTCCTGAATGTTTTCATGATGTTGATAAAATGGCTATTATTCTTAATGCTTTTCCAACATTTTTTCTTTTTATTTTTTCTTGTGTTTTATTGGGATATAACTGACACACAAGTTTAAAGTATACCACAGAACTTGACTTATGTTGCAAAATGATAACTACAATAAGTTTAATTAACATTCATCATCCCAAATAGATACAAGAAGGAAAATAAAAGAGAAGCCAAATGTCTTTTTCCTTGTGATGAGAACTTCTGGGATCTGCTCTCTTAGACAATTTTTTAAAAACAGGTTTGTTTGTTTGTTTTATTGATTTCAGAGAGGAAGGGATAAGGAGAGAGAGAAACATCAATGATGAGAGAGAATCAGTGATTGGCTGCCTCCTGCACGCCCCCTACTGGGATCGAGCCTGAAACACAGGCATATGTCCTGACCAAGAATCAACTGCCATCTCCTGGTTCATGGGTTGATGCTCTACCACTGAGCCACACTGGCTGGACTTAGCAATTTTAGAATATACCATATAGCAGTGTTAGCTATAGTCATCATGTTGTACATTACATCTCTATATTATTTTCTTGTATCTGCAGAAGTTTAAGAACTAAGCGTTCGAGTGAGGACACCTAAAATACTTAAAGTCTATTTTACCTTTTATGTAATAGTTCCTCAGCTGGGTCAAGACCCCTAGTATCCCTGCAGTCTTCTTTTTTATTCCTGTCTGTCTTGGGAACTATTCTGGTTTTATCACTCACTCTGTCTCTTAAAACATGGAGCCCAGAAGTGATGTAATAGATGTGAATGAAATACTTTCTTCTCTTTTTTAAAGAAATGAACATATGGAATAGTGGCATATACTAAACTTGTAATTAACTAAAATCTCCCAAATCTTTCTCTCAAACCACCACCACATGAAGGCCCATCCACTTTTCTGACCTGAAACATAGGATTTTATTCTTGCCCATTTACCCAATTTTATCTAATGCCAATGAATTCCAACTATAAGAGACTCCTTAGTCACTGACTGTAGTCATTTCTCAAGATTAATTCCCCTCTGGACTAAGTCATTCTAAGTTCAAAAATAATTTAGGAACTGGAAAATAAAAAAAAGGCCATTTTAGTCTATGGAAGGAAAAAAAGTAGAAGAGCAAGTTAGCTGCTGAGCCTATATTAAGTTTCTTCAATTCTGCATGAGTTTTATTTTTTTTAAGGCAACACAATTTCTCATATATAACTAAAAATTTTACTATTTTTAAATATATTTGTTGCCAGGCTGGTGTGGCTCAATGGTTGAGTGTCGACCCATGAACCATAGGTCACCAGTTCAATTCCTGGTCAGGGTACATGCCCAGTTTTTGGGTTCGATCCCCAGTATGGGGCGTGCAGGAGGCAGCTGATCAATGTTGATGTTTCTCTCTCATGGATGTTTCTATCTCTCTATCCCTCTCACCTCCTCTTTCTCTCAAAAAAATCAATAAAACAAGTTGATATATATATGTGTGTGTGTATATATATATATATATATATATATATATTTGTTATAATGATGATGCACATTATTGAATGACAATCATAAATATATATCAAACATTTTCTACAGGACAAGGAACATGCTCAACTTTTTTATGCATTATCTCAGTTAAGCACAACCATCCTATGAGGGAAGTAATAATATTATACATATTTTTACCAATGACAAAACAAAGGTTTAGAGAAATTATCTAAAGACTTGACAATATATGAAGTTTTGTTGATTTTAAGAAAAGATGTTTAAGTGTCATTTTTGTGATATAGTTTAATAAAACAAGGGGGAAATAACCTCCA